TCCATTGCTCAGTACACCTGATTGCCGTGCTGCCCTCATTCACGGCAGGCGAAGGTATAGTCTCGAGAATAGTTATTGTACTGCATCTTGTTTGCAGTGCAAAGACACCTGGAATTGTAAGCGTCCTTATCTAGCTTACTACGACATTCTCGTGTGATTTGCTCGCGGCTGTGTGATTGACCAGCTGGACTGGAATCAACTATATAAAGGCTTCTTTACATACGTTGGGCATTAGTAGCATGTGTGCACTTATCCATAACTGTTGCTTTGTGAAGAAGCATTCTTTTGCGTGAGGCTGGGCGTAAGACAACGTGCACATATGCAACTTTAATCTTCAACCGAACGGATTTCTGAATTTGTCTACCATTCATTACCGCGTTCTTTAGTTGCAGATTACCCTGTAGAGCATTTGTCGGGCGCGCGTTTCCTTTTGCTGGGGTGCTGCCTATCTGTCCTTTCAGTACAAGCTCAAGATGTTTTTCGGTTTTCTTGATCCCAAACATTTTCAATAATTGAAAGTAGCAACATGGCGTGTGTAATCTATCCATGGTTACTAGTTACTAGTAGCACTTGCTTGTCTTGCTCTGGCTCGTCGTTGGTATCAACTTGGCATGAATCCATCTGCTGTGAACTTGGAGAGGCCGAGAAGCAACTGGAGTTGCTCCGCGAGTGGAGAACCCAGCAGATTTTCCTTCGGACCGTCATATGAGTCATGAGATTAATTCATTGAATGCGAGGTTCTTGCCCCTTGTAAAATTTCTGTCACTTCGGCATGCATCGGCTGGCCCTCGCCACTGCCTTCCTCATTACCTATACTACAGGGTGAGCCATGGACGAAGCTGAGCTTGTGTTGATGCATGGAGACATGGAAGACTGTTTTGGAAGGAGCACCTTCAAGAGTAGCATGCACCCAAGAATAAGGCGTGACGCAAGAGCGTCGGCAGTATCAGTGTGACATGCAGAAAGTTCAACGGGTGCCAACAACAATGCAATTGTTAAGCATGTGTTTAATCCAGCCGTTTGGCTCCCAGCTCGTTCCTTTCAACTCTTCTGCAGCCTGCCTACTTGCTGTCCACCATGGCGCCTACTGCGCTGGCCCTTCGTTTGCAGTACCAAGCAAGACAGCGTCCAAGCCACGAGACCTCTGACCATGGTATCGTTCCGGTTGGGGCTTGCTGGAACATGACATCTCATCGATAGAGCTTTCCATGCTCAGGTGGTTTCTCAAATGAGGGCCCTCATGAACAAGAACTATCTGGAGGACGTGGCATCCCTTGCAAAGAATGAGGTGCAATGCATGCTTTTATTGTCCCTACGTATCAGCAAACTGTTCAGGCATGCTCTGTCATACAGTTTAGATCTTTGACGGGCGCCAATGGCCACAAGCAGAGTAATTATTTGCAGCAGCTCATGGTGCGGGCTTGTACTCTGAATATCTCTGATTCCAGAAGCTGCAAATCCAGGCATTTCTTACTTGGTGAGTTGTTGGTCTGATAAACCTAGTGTGAATCAATGTTAGGTTGCTCTTGATGGTCGGCGGAGGTATAGCAAACACTGGAAAGCACTATTCTGCATTCAAGCAGAGGACAAGCAAAACTGTCGACGACACTGTTGCACGCCGCTCGGGCCAGCACATTGGGGTTCCCTTACTCTAACCGCACTAAGAAATTGTTGCCAAGCTAGACAGTCAAGCTGATGTAGTTTGAGTGAACGTGTGAGATGGGCAACGTCGTTCAGACATCGTGGCCGAACCATGTATCTCGGCAGTGCCTTAGGTACTGTATCACCTTCATAGCGACATCGCAGCACTATGCTGGGCTCGACGGGATCAGGGACATGTGCCAGTACCTTGGGCTCACTCAGGTCTTGGGCCTTCTGCTGACGCCGCTCTGGGCATATTCCTTGCTTCCGGGGAGTGGCTCTGCTCCGAAGCCGGCCGAGGCTTCTTATCCCACCCTGAAGGTAGGAGACTTCGACTTGAGGGCAAACCCCAAGTCAGGTGTCTTTCGGAAGGGGTACAGAAGGCTTGTGGTGTGCACCTTGGAACATGGATTATCCCTAGAACACTGTTTTTGAAGAAGGCACCGCACGCACGACGTCTCGCCACGCACAGAGAGGCAGCGAGGCTTTGGAGACAACCCGGCTCAGCAGATTACCCTTACTGCAGCACGAGTCTGAAGCGCGGGCAGAGCGCCACCGCTGGCTCAGCAAGTTATCACAACAGGATAATAACCCCAACATACGCCAACATCCAAGCCGCTTTTGAACGGCCGTGGCAGGAGCAAGTGCTCGAGACAGTTCATTATATCAACTGGATGGGCCCAGCCCTCGGGCCACGCGTGTCGCGTGCTTTCTGTGCGCGAGGCCTCGGATCGCTTGATAACGGTGTGTTCGCTTGGCAAGCCAGTTTGCCTGCTTGGTCGCGCATGAGGGTAGATGAAGCATGTGTGCATCCTGCAGCTGCTGATGCGAACTCTCCTTGTGTGACTTTCGCCAACCTAGCAGCAACGAGGTTCCGCATACGGCCAAAACGTTGTAACCTACGACCCTATCGGCAACATCTTCTTCAGACGATCCTGGCAGAAATGGGTGTGTTTGGACAAGATCAGGTCTTTCGAAGCAGTTTGAAGGAGTGAGTCAGATGCCGGAATGGGCTTGTCATGGTTTTGCAGTCCGAATTTCGGTCCGATTGATGTTCAGCTGCCAAGAACAGAGCTATGACTCGGAATATATGGCATGCCGGAGCTGCAGCTACCCGTTTCCCGGCGGCATTTGGTCTGCCTTGCACGCCTTGCATAAGGATACGGTCTCATGGCCTCTCTTGATTTTTCGCGAAGATTCGGGAAGGGTAGGTCTAGAATTGTATCTACATGTGACCGCCGAGTTGTTGCTGCACCCGTTCCGCTTTCCCGGAAACGTGTTACCGCAGGATCATCTTACAGGGAGGTCCTGCCGAGGATTTGCAAAAGTACATCATGTCGGAGACTTGACTGCATCCGGGCCACAGTGTAAAAATGTGTAAAATGTCGATGGAAGACTGACCTCGTCGTAAGCCACAGCCAAGGAAGTTCAGCTCTTGATGGACAAAGGATTTACCCCCACTTGTCCGAACTGGAAGACTCTTGGCATGTGTTGCCCTGTGTTCCTGCGCTGTTGCCCAAGCTATATGATCCTCGATTGCTGCCCGCAGTCCTGCATCGTTATTAAGCAAGCAGGGGCGGATATGATGGTATACACAGAATCTCAAGAGACCTGGTTTGTATTCGCTCTAGGAACCCACTCTTGCAAGGAATCTGGTGCTTGTTGCAAAGAAGGGCGAGGGCTCCGGTCCTGCCCACTGTGCCAGAGCCGCTTGTCCTTTCATGCATGTAGGTCGCCTGCAGCATTTCTTCCGGGTGCGATTCGTCGATTCGAGTCTCCGCAAGTTTCGCTAGTCAGCACATGAGACCAGCCGGATGTGGGTGCTGCCCGAAAAGCAGCGGAGCTAGAGCACAGTGACGTCTGCACAAGACAACCAAACGGCCGAAAATCTGGAATGCGGACACACGATCGAATCTATCAATGTGCTGTTTGCCGCGGACCTAAACGCTCTGGATGTGATTCGCTTGAACACACGGCATTAGCTGGCATGCAGCCACTTTAAGGTCGAGTGGACATCCGACTCAGAGTTGGACTTCACCGTGCACTTGAATCGAACCTCCGGACTCTTGCTAGCAGCTGGAAGTAGATCATGTAACATGTAATTATCAACCGGCAGGACACATAGTAGGCTCGATGCAACCATCTGGACATGGATATTAGCACAGAGAAGTAGACTGGCATGTGTGGGACCTTGCGCCATGCAGAGTGCTGCACATTGGAAGCTTGAGGCTACCTCAACAAAGAGCAACTCGACTCAAAGATATTTTTGCTGTGTTCTCGTCAACCCAGCCGACCCAGCCCTTGCGATGCTGAAAGAACTTGCAGATGTTGAGGGGCAAGTTTGGCCCGATCAACAATCTGAGAGAATTCGCCACTCGGAAGAGATGACCGGGCTTAAGACATGGCTGCAGGTTCCGAAGGCTGTTGTTGCTTCAGGTTGTCGGGTCCGTATGGTGCGGTGAAACTCATGCTTGTCTCGATGGAATGAATTGCCTGTCACCGTTCTTCGGCTTGTCGCTGCTTCATGCGTGCTACTCAGGATGCGGGCTTTCTGACCAAGCGCTGCAATGGATGGACAAAGTGCCTCAGCTGCAGAACTTCACGAGAAAAGCACAGCACATGTTTGCCTAACTTTGATGCAAAGACGTCGCACGCACAGTCTTCAGCAAGTGTGCGTCAATAGATCATGAGTCCACAGGCATCTCACATATGGCGATCATTGCATGCATGTGGCAGAATGACGGCTTAGTGTGCTGTTGCGGCGCTTTTCCAAGTCACTACAGTCCGCCCTCCGAAGAGACGCTTGCTCCTGTCCAGGCAGCTATGCCAGCAGCAGTTCTGCTGCTCGCTTGCACAGGGTGAAGGCATTCATAAATTCAGAGGCTGACGCGCTAATTTTGTTTACAGTGTTCGACACCTGTTGACCACAAGCGGTGGGTTCGGCCGACGTGAGTAATTAGATCTGTCTGAATCCACGTTAGCATCGCTTGACCTCCCGGCCCAGCCTACGTCAACAGCCTCTACGCCGCGTCGTCACCGGAGCCTCTTGGCATCCCAACCACTAGAAGTGCGCTCTTAAAGTTGGCCGTCTGGACCTAGGAATCGCTTCCCAGGTCATGAAGTGCAGGAGCTACAACACTAGCCCATGGAAGGTGAAGCATCGATGAGATAGGTCACGAAAACAACAGGGCCATCGGGTGTTTGAGCTTGGCTCGTCAGCTGCAGTTGCACACAAGCTTTGCACCGAGAGCGATTAGTTCCCGGCATTCATTCACGAACTTTGACCTTCCGGATCTTCCGGCACATGTTAAAGGAAGCTGCGACATTTTTTATGGCCCAGGTCGAGCACACAAGATTCGATGTTCGTGCTGCTGGGCAGTTCTGCGGTAATTTTAAGGAGCAGAATCAAGCTAAAATGGATTGCTTGTTGTTTTTGCATGGGCGGTGCCGGCACATCTCATGGCTTTCGCGACAAGACCGCGGCAGACGCGGCTGTGAAGCAGAATGCCATGTAAGGGGCTTAGAGATGCTTGTCGGCGACTACATCACACACAAGAAGCTGCTGGACTGCGTTTGTTCTTGTCATTGCACATATAGTCCCATGGCGAGCCATAGCAGCCAAGGAATCTAGAAGGCAAGATTGGCTACAGATACGCAGGCGGAGCTTGGACAGCATACAACCCAAAACATCGGGCAATGCATTGGTCCGAAGCCACCCACGCATTTAAGAAATGCAGCGCAGCAATGGGTTGACTTGCTTTCGTTGCTCGTGCAGGCACAAAGGCCCTGCACCACCTGGCGCTGACAGTGCTGCCATTTCCAGCGCTGGCGATGTGGCTGCAAGTTTTCTCTTGGCCCAGGGTTTTCTCTTAGTGACCAGTGTTGCGGCCGGTGACCTGGCCGTGAGGAGGAGCCCACGAAAACTGCGTCAGAGTTCCTTGGCAAGGGAAACCTCAGCACAGGCGCGTTGGCAGATTCGTTTTACTAGAGCCATGTTGTGCTTTCGCTGAGCGCTGCATGGTTGCACCGAAGTAGGTCAGATTTTTGGCGACCTCTTCGGAGCCACTTGGCAGCAGGTTGCCTGAGTTTCTTGCCGTAACGCCAACTACCGGCATCAGCCCATTCCGAGGCTGCAGTGTCCTGGGTCTTCATTGCTAACGTCATGGGCTTCGTTGGGCCGCTTGGAAACCGAGTTGTTTTCAAGGGTCGGCCTTCGCGGTTTGGAGCTCAGCAACGTTCCACGATGATGGAGCGGTGCCAACTTGACTGGAGAGAGCTGCCGCTTTTGCGAGTCGTTACTTGTACAACCGGAAACCACACGACATGTACGCTGTACAGTCCAAGGGCGCAAGTAGATGCAATGATGATATCTGTCGGATCAGAGGGATTCAGGGGTGGGTGCATGTGCTTGTGCCTATTACGAACCCTGTGTTTGGGGTTCGGGTTATGACGGTTAATGACTACTGTACTGCCAGCACTGATCGTGGCTAAGCCAGCCAAGGCGACTGGTAACCGAACGCGAGGAGAAGAGAAAGGCGCTGGTCGTGCGTTGATGCCCCGTCTCTACAATGCCCCACAGCTGAGTCTCTGAGCCGCAGCAACCACTCTCTGGACATTAGAATCGAAGTGAATCCCTTAAACTTTAAGCAACGGGCTCAAGACGTCCCAGACTGCCCCCTGCAGCAGGAAGGTTTACGGATGATTGGCTGCAGCGCCAGTCTCAGACTTGCTATGACTTGCTGTGACTGGCCTTTCCGTCCGCGTGTAGCGACCAACGGCTCAACAGAAGGTCGATGCCGCGCAGTCGACGTCAAGGGGTCGACTGGCCTCGTAGCAGGGGAAAAGTCGGGGTGGGTACGGAAATGACGACGTCGAATCGCAAATCTTAGGCAATTCTGCTCCAATGTGCTTGCCAGGGAGGAGCGAGGCTCCCACTACTGCCTTGGCCTCGCAGGCTCAAGGCGAGAAGAAGAGTGAACAAGATCTGAGCTCCCCACACTGAAGCACTGAAGCACATTGCAAAGTTCCAATGGTGTGGTGCTAAGTCTCTCCAGCGAACATCTTCCTTTCAAGCAAAATGTGCTGGGCGATGTTGTGCAGACGGTTTGGCATCATCCTGCTCGCTCCATGTGTTTACAGGGCATGTTTGCAACATTTGCTCGCTTAGTTTTCTTGGGTTCTCTAAGGTGATTTCGCGTACTACGGCCACTGGATCATTTACGGTTGGACTACGGGCTTTGTGTATCTTGGTTCGGCTGGAGAGAGTCGTCGACCAATCAGCGAAATAAATACAGGTAGCCGTTTCCGGTGGCTGTATTCAGGGAGCCAGCAACCTTTGTTGGGTTTGGGCGGCCGCGACATATCTCCATGAGCATGACGATCTTCTCACGGAGGTTATTGCACGCAAGGTTCTTCTTTCTGGAAGATGTTTGAGAAGTTCGTGATAATTTCATGACTGGTCTCGAGTTACACTAGCCTGGGATTCCGTGAGATACTGTTGGACGAGGCCTGCTCGCACCTGGGCAGGGTGGTTGAGATGTGAATGCCGCTTTTTCAATAATGTGTGAGAGTTATTTCTTTAAGGGACTCGACCAAGTTTCGGATGGAAGTAAGCCGGTCAGAGGTTTGTGAGGGAGTAAACCTGTCATTTACAGCAGTGTCGTCGCTGCACACCTCGCGGGACCTCGTCGAGTGCGAGTGCCAAAAAAATCTCTCATTCGTGCTCTTCAGATAATAGTGCATGGATGGAACAGGAACACGGGATGCAAAGCCTCGGACAATTGCGAGTGATTGCAGCAACGACCGAGGTACGCGACATTCACCGTGATCACGTTCTTCGGCATGCGGATCTTTACGTCGGGCTTTGTCACCTTTTACCTCATCGAGTCCTGTTCGCGACCAGCCTCTGTGTTCGCTTACTGTTGTGACACAGATGCCAGAGCACAGCTTCAGTGCTCATCGAGCCAAGTGCCTGGTCTTCTTCTTGAACTTGGCTCTTGTATCCTTCGTGTACTCCTGCTTCCTGGGACCGCGGCGTGCAGAGAGAATGTTTCTGCATCTGGCAGCGGGCTGGCTCCTCTGCAGGAAACGCCTTCATGGGACAGCTCATGACGCTGGCAGCGCACTCGCTGGAGTCTGCAACACGGATACTTGTGGGGGGTGGTAGGCATCTCTGCTGGAAGGTAATTTACACCTTCACCTGCAGCATTAGCATCATTCCGCACATGCCTGGCGGAGACCTCTTGATGCTTTTCCCGCAGTCACTTGTCTACATTTGGCCGGGTACTGATGCTGCTAAAATCTGGAGCTTGGCGCCGCGAGAGTCTGCTTCATAGCCTTGTACTTGAGCATCATTGATGAATTTCAGCCGCTGCTTATGGACAATTCAAAAGTTTGCATGACCAACAGTCGAAAAACGAGTCGAAGTGATCGGAATTGTGCTCCGTTGAATCCTCAAAACAGCGGGCCTCCAACTTTGTTCCTCTGCCCTGCACTGAAGGTATGCATTCGGCAAGGCCAGGGTTTAGACATGTAGAAGTCGCCGAGCCTCGGCCTTGTTGTGAGAGCCTCACACAGCGCCAAGTCTTGAACTTGAAGGCACTGAGTGCTTATCTCCATCATGAAACGACGCGCTGGTCTCCAGATGCAGGGTTGGAAGAAATTCGGCCCACAGTGGTGAATGTCCAAGTTAAAACAACGAGATGTTGCGCATAGTGTCTGCATGAGCAAAAGTAAGCCAAGGGAGTCGACATATATGGCACCATGGCATTCGCTCAGAATCTGTGTTGGTTCGCATATTCCAGTGGCTCGAACTCAGGGACATAGTCCTTTGCTGTTGCTGTTCACACCCAGGAGCACTGGGTTGGCTAATTCTGGATGCGGCTGCTTGGCGCGACTGTGAGCTATTGAGAACAATCAATCCAAGTCAGAATTGAGACTGCTCAGGTGTCCGACCTTGAAAGTGTTTGCACAGCCTTGGAAGTTATATAGTCTTTACCTGCACAACAGACCTGTTTTGGCCTGGCCATCCAGCAGACATTGAAACTACATGTTCCGTTTGTTTCATCCTGCGAAGCTGGCTGGCTAAGATTTTGTGGACGCTCCTCTGGCTTTATCTGGACCAGGCAGGGCACTTAGCTGTGAGATGGAATCGGCTGTGCAGTGCTATATTGAGCTTCTTGCCTTAACGTACCCGCTATCGCGGCTGTTGCAGGAAACTGTTTGAAGGTGCCCATGTGACATGCGCCAAGGTGATTTCTCACAATGGTGGCAATGCTTTGCGCCCTTGGTTTCCATGTGATCCAAGCTACTGGAAAGGCAGACGGGAGCGCAAGCGCTCTCCACTGCCGCTTTTCCTCTGCCAGACAGGCGATGGGGGCGTCGCCCAAGCGAGCACTGAGATGAGAAGCCTCGGCCTTGCCGCGGGCTCTGAGCACACAGAGGCGAGACCTTTCGCAAGATGCGCTGTAAGGGGAGGTGCCGTTATGTATCGACAGGCGTTGATTGAAGAGACCCCCAACTTGGAGGAGGCACCCAACCTGGGTTTGGAACTCAGTCGAACAGGGCGAAGGTTTTGGGATTCCTGGAGCGCGCTGCTGTAGAAGGATTCAAGCAGCTTCACAGATGGAGCGTGTTGGAGCGCAGTAGAGCTCCAAAGCCTTTCCACCAGATATTATAAGTCTTGTACTCACTCGTGCGAGTGGTATGAGTGCGAGAAAGTGCCGGTGGTGGTCGTCTGCGCATGTCTTCGCCAGCAGGGGGGGGGTCACGCCCCTCTGCAGAGGTTGAGGGTCATGATGCTCTTCGTGGCAGTTCCCGACCAACATACATCCGCGAATGCAGCTTGTGGCTAATTAATTACACCAGAAGCTCAGGTGCACGCGGATCCATTGACGAAACGATGTCAAAGATCGGTCGTAGCTCACTGATCGAGCCCGCTGCTTGACTGCATATGCGGTCCGCACGTGCATGTGCGTAATGAAGTCGATGAATTGAGCTGGCTATACCATTCTTGTTGTCGTCGTGTGATAGAAGCGAAGTGGAGTGTAAGAGTCTTCTACAGCCTCGGCTCTCTTAAGCTATCTCCGATGCAAGACTCGGGGAACGACTGGCACAGGTAGAGGCCATGGACTTCATGGTGGTAAGGTGTGTTGAATCGAACTAGTATCTGCGATACTTCGAGCCACATGTCGGGGAGGCAGCCGAGGCAGTTGATCGATGCGTAGACGTCAGAACAAACATACATGCACACTCAAAACGGTTTCGATGGGTCGAGTGTTGTCCGAACTTGGCCAGTCTCGCATGATGCCATCAACCGACAGCTGGCAGATCCAAATGATCCTGCGCCACCTGTCGCTAGAACCGTTTCTGAGTCTGCTTGTCCTTTGATTTTTGCCGCTGAATCTGAGATGCAAGGCAGATAGGGGGATGATGGCCCAGATTCTGTCAAAAAGCTGCGTGAAGGTCGATGCCACTCAGAGGCAACTTGGGACCTCGAAAGGTCCTGATTTGCTGCTGCACCATTCGACGACGTGAGGAACGGTTCAATCCTCTCAGGATCTCTGCGTTTACTTCAAGGGGATCTACTCAGAGGAGATCCGGGCGGTGGATGGCGTTAGCCTAGTCATGTTCAGCACTTAGGCTTCGCATTCTTCACTCGTCACCTGTAGATGAAAAGATGTACTCTGGCATCGAAGTTCAGACGCTTCGCAAGTGACCCAGGTTCCCCGGAGAGATCTTTGCGCTGCTGGGCCACAACGGAGCAGGTCCTCCAGCTTGCAGTGCATTGTCTACACCGAAAACTACAGATGCAGATTCACAAGTGCCCAATCGCCAGGCAAATCCACTACGATGTCAGCGCTGTGCGGCCTAATACCTCCAACTTCAGGTTGCCTCCGCCCGGCCAATCCTGCACAACTGCTCTCTGGGTGCAGGCAAAATCTCAGCATTCGGGCTGGACGTTCCCAAGGACGCGGCGACGGCAGATAATCTTGTCGATTCACTGTGTTGTGGAGCTTTGCCCGAGGCGCGCCCTTCTCCCGCTGTAGTGCGATCCCGCAAAGGCGATCGAAGCATGTCACGAGGAAACTGGTGTGTTAGCGCTGTAGAAAAAGCTTGCGGGCAGCCTGCAGCCCGCGAGACGTGCGCCGGGAGGTTCCCGGGATGCGGCTGCCCGCCGCGCATGCATACTTGCCGGCGTTTGCGCTCACCTCCTACTAGGTCCTGCTATTTACACAGGTTCAGCGGAAAGCTAGAAAGAGTGCAACTTCCAATACATGGGCCACCTTTTGCCTTCAGAATCTAGTGAATCCGGCCAGCATTTGAGCAAGCATCTTTGACTGTCCTCTTGATTACGTCAGTAAAGCATTTTGACCGTGCTGCTGAATCCCGCCCTTGAGGGAAACCATGGTGGGCATTGTTTTCAATTTGCCGGTACTTGGGGGAAATTGGGGAAAACCGCTTTGGCCGCACCGGTGGTCTCCTCTTAGCCTCCTGGTGGCCCCGGTCGTGGTTTGATATCCTGGTGGTCGTCGTGATTATCATGGTCATGGATTTCTTGGTGCTCTGTCACTGTTGGGCATCTATGCGAAAATAAGGGTATTTTTGCGGTGAACAACATGACCCTTCCGATCGGTGATGCCTCAATCGTTTTCCGTGCATCGGGTTCAGGACATGGTGGAGGTGCGGAAATCCATGGGTAGCTAGTCAGCAAGCTGAAATCGCAGTGATCTTGCCGGATGCGCGGCTCTTGGAATCCCAGGCTTCTGCCCTCAGCACGACGTCTTGTTTCCGGCGAGTGTCTCAGTGTAGGAAAGCTCAGGTTGGTACTCGGCTGATAATATAGCGGCGCATTAGATTTGTGTGTCGTGTGTCCGCCTTCTCGTTTCATGTGGCTGCATCTGCTCCAAGATGGGCACTGGCAGATCCGCTGCCAAGGAATTATCGGTCGTGCAACACATAACGCTTTTCACGACATTGGCGGGAAGGTCATTGAGCCTGCCGCCAAGTCGTTCGTCTTTCATGCCACGGCACGGGCGCACTGAGAAACAGCCACTATCGCTTCACCGATGATACACACGGTTTAGGCACAGCAGGCTGAACAGGCTGCTGCTGAGGTAGCGAGGCTTCCGTGTTCCAGCTGGTCGCAGATGTCGGCCTCGGCTCCCGCAACTCAGCGATGGATCAATGAGTTTGGGATTCAAAGAAATCTGACAGCTGCAGGCTGTTCCCTTTGACCAGGTGCGAACTACTTGATTACCTCCCTGTCTGGGGGCATGAAGCGCAAGTTGTCTGTCGGCCTGGCTTTTGCAGGCGGGAGTGGAAAGAAGCCTTGTTCCTGTTTGAAGCTCTGTCTCTGTGGCTCTGGCAGCACTCGGCGCTGCACCTTGCTGTGCCGCTGCCGAGGAGATCCAAATTTGGTGGTTCTCGACGAGCCCACCAGTGGCATGGATCCTTTCAGCCGGCTCGGGTCTCGGAGCAGGGCCGCACCGTAGAAGCCAATAGGTGCCATCAATCTACCATCTAGGGACCAAAATCTGCAGGCGCGCGCTCTGGGACTTCTTGAAGCTGCGGCGTGCCCGCGAAGCAATGGAGCAGGAACTTCTGCATGAACAGTAGGCTTGATCGAGAAGTCACTTCACTGAATCAAGGCCCTAGGCACCAGAGAAAGGCCTTCGGCACTCTCCGCTGCCATTCAGGTCAGGGTCGCGTCATGCTGCTTACGACGCATTTCATGGACGACGCTTGCTCTCGATTCACACAATGCATCGCAGCGCTTCCTGTCAGTGAATGTACATTGAACTATTCCCTGCATGATCCGTCATTTAAGGAAGCTGGCGTGCTTGGTGATCGCGTAGCTATCATGAGAGCAGGCGTTCCGCGCTGCAAAAAGATTTCGTGGACCCTTTTACAAGAGGTCCTTGCTGTCAAGTCATTTCGGTGCGACGGTGACACCAGTACAGTAGCCCACGAATGATCGGCCGTCACAGGTGCAGTGCAGGCTTCTGGAACGCAGAATTTTCTGAAGCGCCGATTCGGCTGCGGCTACGTCCTGACGATAGCTGCTTAGCAAACAATTATTGCGCAGAAGTTGGAACTTTCTACGACGCTGCCACTTTCACTATATGCACCAGAAATCACCGGCTCACGTGGTTGTGCTGTCAACAGATCTGCACGCAACGCTGTGCAGAAACTGGACCTGTTTGTGGCGTCAAGAGCTGAGTGAGCAGTCGCTCAGCCAGGCCAACTTCACCTTGCCAGGAGAACGCTTGGAAAGTGCTTAGCGCTGCTCCGAACAGAACGTTCCACTGGACCCTTAGGGGCACTCTCGAGTGCTGTAGCGGTGCAGCATCTGAGGTCATGCGGGAGCGCGGCGACAACCACGAGCCGGTGAAGCAGCTCCTGAGCTCCATACTCGGCGACGTGGACACTTCAGGAAGAGAGACCCGCTGATGTAGTGGCTTGTGTGTTAAAATGTGAAGCTTCACTTCCGACCTAGTTCCAGGAGTCGGAAAAGAAATTTTGGCAAACGTGCCCATGGAGAAGGACCAGTTCAAAGCATGGCCGGAAAGATCCCCCCCAATGTCAGACTCGGACTCCGACCCACATATCTGCCTCCTTAAGCGCAGTGGGAGAGTCGGAGGAGGAACCTCTGTCTTCGTGTTTAGCAGCACTCTCCGAGAAGAAGGCTGGCATGCAATGATTCTGAGGTGTTGGCGAATCGAAAAGCATGCGTTGCTGCCTCAGGCCGAGCTTTCTGTGGCCACCTTCGGCGTGTCAGTCTCGAACCTTGAGGAGGCAGTGGGAGATGCAAGGAAAATGAAGCCGTCGTGTGCATAGCAGGTCGAACGAGAGATTTTGAATCGATGGCAGGTTTTCCTCAAAGTGGCCAGCGGAGATCATGGAAGCGACGATGCAAAGAAAGAAACTGAGCCTAGGACGGCAGAAGCATGATTGTAAATTGCAAGTCCAACAGGGTCATCTTTGCTGAAAGACATCCGCTCTGCGAAGCCGTATCTCCCTTTGTCATGTCAAGCTGTCGACAGACCTTCAGAACAGGAAAGTGGTTGTGAGCCGTGAGGGTTGCCTGGCAGCAGCTGCCCTAGTTTCTGAGGAGAACTCCTTCCAAGCAGCCATGGAAGAGCAGCCTCAGGCAGCATGAATCTTGAAGTCATCGCGGCACTATATTTTGACCAGGTATTGAGATGCAACGCAGTTTTGGCAGTTTCTGCGGCGAAGCTGCCTGAGTTGAAATGCATAGCAGGTATCACATGGACCAGCATTCGCCACTTGGGATACAACAGGTTCCCGTTGTGGTGTTTGGCATTGGCCACTCTTGAACCTGCACTGAGGTAAGCCGTTAAATGTTGAACTTTGTTGCTCACCCGAGGTCATGCCAAACCCAGGCGGGTCAGTCCAGTTGTGCAGATGGCAGTCCCAGCCCCTGCACATGCCACAAGCCTACCTTAGTCGAATTCCTGTTCAGGAGTTTCACAGGTAAGTCTTGGTCTAGGTCAGTTGTTTGGCGCTTGCAAGCCATGCTCGGGGAATGACTTGGCCTCCGGCCTCTCAGATGCGACCTGCCCGGCACGGGTCGGCTGTTGCTGCCCGTGGACGATTGCACCTAGGAATACGAAAGTTGAGTCTTCACCGGCAGGTGGGACAATTCCACAACAGATCAGGGCACTCCTCGAACGTCGTGCTGCAACTGCCCCTAGCCAAATTCAGTCATGACCCCTGCAAACACAACTGTTTCGACGTGTTTGCCTCAGGCTCTACGCGACCGAAAGATGTTCCTGCTGGCCTGCCTTCTGCCAGCTCCTCTGTTCAACAAGCCCCTGCAAGCAGATTTGTTGCTAGCATCAAGTCCTTGTCATAATTTAGGTGGATAGTCTGGATAGTTCTTCCTTGCATGAACTAGTGAAGCCGCAGTCACCCCTTGTTGCTGGCAGCAGTGCCCGGCAAACAAAGACTTGGACCCGAGCAGGTACATTCGATGTCGCTGTAAATGTTGGAAATGCTAGGAAGCAGATCATATCCAAGCGGTTGAGGCATCAAAGCCGATGAACCCGAGTCTCGACCACTGTATGTCAGTGCTGTGCCGCCATGTCGTGGGAGTCAGGAAATGTAGTGACATGCAATGCCGTGGAGTCAGGATGATATGGCCCTATGACGATTGGAGGGCTATCTTTACTTGTTTTAGCGGCGTCTTTCCAAATCCAGATGTTCAATATTTTCGCAGCGGATGCGGCAACCAATTTCGGATTTTGGGATTTCAGCCTTTCGGGATTCCCAAGAAATGATGGTAATGAATGGAAATCCACAAATCCAAGAACGCAAAAGCTTCCACAACCAAACAATTCTCCTGGCATCATCGTCGACTTCGGAGAAATGGTGCATTTCGGGAGGGTAGTACGTACTACGTCCGAGTGGGCAAGGTTTTGCTCTCTCGGTTTCAATGATTGACAGAGAGCTACAGCCTCGAACTCAGTCTTTCCATCGCGATGATGAGATGTGAAGAAATGCAGACAATCACGAAACGTGTCTGCGGGTATGTCATGGGGTGTGCGTGTGTGTGTGTATATATATATATAGATATATAGATATAGATATAGATATAGATATAGATAGATAGAGAGAGACATATGTATGTACACATATGCATTGGCAGATGCGTGCGAGTGTGTGTGTGTATGTGATATTGATGCAGACTTCTGCAGGCCAGTCGGCTAGTCATTGGTGTTGTCGCACATTAATGTTCTGGAATAGGGTACGCGGCAGTCACGGCATGCGCGCACTTCGCTGATGTTGCAAAACGTGTGGCCGCCTTGCTTTAGATCCGTTTTGACCTTCCGCAGGTTGTGGGCGTGTTCTTCGCAACCTCCTTTGGAGCACTTCTGGTTTCTCTCGGATCTCCACCACAAGGGCCAGGAGATTTGGGAGCTCTGACCTGCCACGTCCTTTTGCATTCATGTCCGAACGGCAGCATTGCACTCCGCTGACTAGCCTAGTTTGATTACGGAGTTCGTGCTTTGGGCAGTTTCTGTGTTTTGGTGCGTCTATAATCGGAGTGTACATGCTCAGCATGCACGGGCGCTGAACTCCGCAGCTTCCTGAGTACCTTCTCCGCTTGGGGTGCAGGAGTCCCCATCAAGATGGAGCTCGCCAACATGAAGGTAACTGTGGCCACCACCGAATCAGATACTGCTCCTTGCCTTACCATTTGTTTCTGATTACTTCGCGACTTCGTCTGCGATAGAAACAGAGGGCCTTTAAGGGAATTTAGAGGTTTTTGACAAATGTCAGTCAGCCAGGACTGTAGAAGAAAATCATACCGAGAGCGCCTTTGGGCTTCCGAATTCAAGGCGACGAGCGGAGTAGAGCTTCTTCCCGATCCTGCCGGAAATGAGCGTACGATTTCGCTGCAGAAGTGCCGTGGCCTATGAGCACTCGTGGAATTTTGGCCGACACATCGGGAACCGTCAAGTCGTGCATGAGAGGCGAGCGACTGGAACGGGCAGTGCGTGCAAGGGCAACGTGAACCAAGGCAGGCAACGAAGTGCTCGACATCATATAGTCGCGATCCGTCCAGCTGCACGGTGCCCTTTGGCCATCACATCAGAAGACATCTTTTCGGCAATCTCCAGCCATTGATGCTGGTTGAAGTCGGACATGGCTAATGCGCCTGCATCACAAGGTCGGGGCTTACCGACAGGTACTCCGGAGTGCCCCCGGAGTACATTGCGGCTTGCACGCGGCGCGGCAAATAGTCATAGTCGTCGACGACGTACACTTACACAGTCCTAGTCGCAGTCGGCGTCGCAGTCGCTGTCGCATTCGTAGTTGTAGCCGTAGTCATAGTTACGTCGCCGTCGTAGAAGTAGAAGTAGAAGTAGAATTATAGAAGAAGAAGTAGTAGTAGTAGCAGCAGCAGCAGCAGGAGTAGTAGTAGTAGTCGTCGTCGTCGTGGTGGTAGTGGAAGAAGAAGAAGCAGTAGTAGTAGTAGTAGTAGCAGCAGCAGCAGCAGCAGTCGTCGTCGTCGTCGTCGTCGTAGTCGCCGTCGTGTTCGTCGTTGTCGTCGTAGTCTTGTGGTTTGTCGATTTTGTGCTGTGCTTGGATCTGTCTCAGCACTTTCTCAGGGCCACCGGCAAGGATGCAGATGCGTGCAAGACACGATGGGTGCAGCCGCATGGTCAAGGTTTGAACAATGATTTTCAGCTCTGAATTGCGGGGTTTGGGTTCGCATTTGCTGCTTTGGCACGATTTTCCTGGAACTGAGGTATCTAGTGGAGTTTGACGATGTGCTGCAGCTTTGCCAGAATCAGAGTGGTGTTGCACAGGGCATGAGAGTAGGCATGTGACGTTTTTGATGTGGCTGTGGCGTGGCGCCAGACAGGATGCAGAAAGCTGAGAAGGATCCACAGGATGTAGGCGCGAAGTTCAGAGATTTCGTGAGGCTGTTTCGCCGCTATCATTCTGGAAAGCTGTCTGTAGTAAACAAAGATCGCAGTTCACAGCGGGCAATGCGCATGGCAGATCTCTGCGTCTTTTCTTTGTTCTCTCCCTGTGTGTGTGTGTGCGCGTTGGGTGTCAGTCATTCCTGTGCAGCTGTTTGCTGAACCCAAGGGCCCAGAGCATCCTCGACTTGCCAGGGGTCCTGTTCATCGACGGCTTTCCCGTCGTTGCTGCCAATCAATCTTATGTGGCTCATGGTTTTCCACTAGCGGTGATGGAGATGTTCCACGAGGCTCGGGGCCAGGGATGGTCGGGGCAGGGCGCCCGCAGGCTTTTCGTTCATTTTGGGAAGCAGTCCAGGCTACCGGGCTTCAGCTGAAGATCAAGGAAGAGCATCTTGGCTGCCCCAGTCTCGACCTTCGTCCAGCGTGCGAGCATGTGCGAGAGTCTTCACGAGCCAGTCGGGAATCAGGGGCTTCGTAAGATGTCAACCTGCCCCTCCTTGCACTGCAGCCCTGGGCGGCATCCACCCATCCCTTTTTGTCCCTTCTCCTCTGTCAAGGATCACACCTATGACTGTGCCCGAGCAGATGCATTACAAAACGCAGCGCCTTCGAGTGCAATGTTTTATGAAATGTGTCGATGTCGGCAATGCTGCTCAACATCTGTACTTCAGAGTTGGCGTCATCTTTGGAGAGGCCCGAGAGAGCGTAAATTGCAACACATCGCCTGCAAGTTCTGCCCCGGGCATAGAAACATACTGAAATTGTAGAACATGCTACACCAGTCCCTTCTCCGGATGTGGAGCTTGTGCAGGAACCTGATCCATCAGACTATTGCGAGCTTGATGACCGTGGCCCAAGTACTCCTTGAGGAGATGGAGTCGGCATGTGAGGTATACATCGCGCATGATGCGAAGGGGTTGGGGGCAGACCGTGCCTCACGGTTATGTTGCAGATATCAGACCAACATCTCGATGCGATGGTTTCCTTCTGAGATCAGCATCCTGAGCAACTTCGCTTTCTGCTTCGTGCCGATTGCTGTGCTCGGCTTCGTCCTCATGGAGAAGACGAAGGCCAGACACAGATGCCGGCTCTCACATGTGGGTCTTACTGGGCGGGTCCTCGAATGTACACCAACCTCACGTTTGGCATTCCGGTTCCCCGGCACCACACCACAATCTGTGCCCGCTTTCAACCGCCGGAAGTCGCGGGAAAACTTGCAATGCTACTGTGGATTTCCTGATTCCAAGTCCTGGGCCACAAGTTCCGAACTGCTCCGTACTGCATTCGGAGATTCGTTAAAAACTCGAAGGGGGGCTGTTCGTGTACGTAGTTAGCACTTATCGCCGAGACCACGAGCAGTGCCGGACAAGTCTTTTGCAGGGAATTAATGACATCGGGGCATGAGGCGTGTCATGCAGCGAAGGACATCAAGCACCAGCTCATGATCTCGGGTTGTTCCGCCCGCGCCTACTGGATCTCCATGCTGATCTGGGACGGGGATTCGACAGTCTGCCAGCCAATGCTTGTCGGACAGAGTTGCTGCCTTACTTTGAATTTAGGAAATTTACAGTAGTGTTCTGAAACGGATTTTTGTGCACACATATATACAAGTCTCAAGGAGATAGTCCGGCAGTTCCAGTTTTCCAGTACAGGCTCACCGAAGCAAACTCGCCCACAGCCATGCTGCCAAATTAGGTGAGACCTACCCCTCCCACGCCGTTTCACACCCCTGCCCCTTGCTTCAAAGCCCTTGCCCAACCTGCCAGAGGATCCACAAACACACTGGGCAAACTCTGGAAACTTTTTGAGTAGTTCTCAACTTCCCGCCAAATTTATGATACTCTTGGGGCCCTACCCCCAGAAGAAATCAAGCCAGAAAGAAGCCGGAAATAACATTGACAAAGCTCTGCATTCGAAAAAAAGCAAGCACAAGACCATCTCCACAGAGGATATTTGCAGAATCTTGCATTGCCGCTGCGCCAGCAAACCAATCAAAGCCAAAAGGTGAGCTGCTACTGGTGCGCAGGACTGCGCCTTCACCGTGTTCCCGATCTTGGCGCTGTATGGCTTCCTCTGGTTTTACGGCCACTGGGGCTTGCAGGGGCTAGGCTCGGGCGGGCAGGCAAGGTGGCGCAGCGATTGTATGTGCAATCGGTCACAACCACGTCGCCCGGTGGGCCCGAGGAAGGGATTGATGCAACAGCATCGCACACCTCACCCCCGCAAGAAGAAAAGCATAACCTGCAATTCGGGCTACCACGTTGCTGGCTTGCAGGCTTCCAAGCCTTCATCTACTACTGGCAGACCTCCTTGGCTCTCCTTCTTCTCTTCACTCCGGCGGCAGTTGGAGCCTTGCTTAGCCAGGAGGTCTCGGAGGTTTTCACTCTGGGCGATGCACTCGCGATAAGGACTGGCATATGTCCTGTCGCATATGACATCTTCGCCAGCACTGGCGAATGTTTCCTGGCATGGCAGTTTTTTCGGCCTGTGGCGTAGAGTTTAAATCAACAGCGGAGAATCCTGAGTGAAAGCTAAACGTTGTCAGGTTGGCCTCGCACTGTGCAACGGTGTCATGGTTGTCTTCTTGGCCCCAGGCTCAGCCTTAGACTAGGCTGCGATTGCAGTGGCTGCAGCTTGACTTGAAGCCTCGCACACCTGTAAACTGCCCCTCACAGACACAGGCAGGGACCCTGACAGGCACACTGACAGGAATGGCGACTGGGATACGGACCGGCTCACGATCGGGATATATACATACAAATATACAAATACATACATGCACATACACATACACAGACACATACATAGACACATACATTAACACATACATATACATGTACATGTACATGTACATATACGCATACATATAGGTATACATATACATGTACATATACATATACATATACATATACATATAGGTATGCATATACATATACAAAAAACATATACATACATATACATGTATGTATATATGTATATATACGTACACATACGTATGCACATATATATATATATGTGTGTGTGTGTATATATATACACATATATACATATATATACATATATATATATAGTTAGATGTACACACATTCTTATGACCCTCCCAGTCTAATCTAAATATCTTGTGGGCTTTATTCCTTTGCCATGCGAGAGGGAAAAATCGAATCTAATCTAATCTAATCTAACCTAATCGAATCGATTTACCTATCTGAGTATATATATATATAGAGAGAGAGAGAGAGAGAGAGAGAGAGCGTATAGAGTATATATATATATATACATACATATATGTACAGGGAGAGAACCAACTCGATCGGAGCACGGACCAGGACGCCAAAGAATAACACGGACTAGAGCACCGGCCAGAACACCGACCACCACGACACGGAAACAGACGGGGACGCTGACGGTCGGACCTAGTTGGGACACGACCCAGACCCCGTCCGAGACACGGACGGAACACGCAAAATTTGCGGTAGCCGCGTGCCCCGCCCAACTCGTGTTTAGGTGATGACCTTCCTTTTCTTTGACATCTTCACGAAGGCCGTGCCCATCGAGAGGACTTTCAGCGCTGGACTCAGTCGGAAGAAATGCACGCCAGTGAACTGACGAGTCGTGCGACAGAGACTGTTCAAGGCTCCGATGGGGCATCATTGGGCGACTTCGCCAAAACGATGAACGGTGACTGCACGGCTGCCTAGCAGAAATGCTGGGGGACGGTCTGGCTAGGACACCACATGAGGCCTTGGCTCTCAGATCTCTTGGGACCTCCAAACGCGCCGTTTGCCTTCTTGGCAGTTCCGCTTTTTGAGTTTTTCTGCATACTGGCCTTTTCTGAGGATTTGCAAGAGCTCGAACTCAAGCCATTCTGCAGAATGGTACAAGTTTCCAACATTGGAATTCCCATCTTAAAGGCCGGGCAGTCTTGCCTACAGTACACATTGGTAGTAGGCCTGAGAGTGTCGAAGCACCGCCCTGTACATGCTTTAGCACGTGCAAGGAGATGCAGATGGCAGTTCGAAGGTTGTCCACAAACAGCCGAAGCTTCTACTCATGTGCAGGTATCAGCCAAGCACTAGTCAGAAAGTACCGAAGTATGGAACCGAAAAAGAACCAAGGAAGTTTCAGCAGGAGCTGTTGCTGGGGCGTGGTGGGGCTCTCCCTAGTTTAAGGCTCTTCATTCTGAGCTGCAGACCTGCACGCACGTGTGGTTATTGCCTGGGCAGGGCATGGGCTTCTTCTTGCCGGGCTTTCACCTGTTGGATGGCCTGCTTCGCATTGCTGGACGCCACGCATTTGTCGCTTTTCAGCAGATGCAGCCTCGACATTGATGCATGCAGCGCATGCAGACAGTATAATGCCCACAGGACCGGGTGTGCGTAGAGTCCAGTGCCAACGAAGCTACTCTTGTTTTGGGAGGATATCCAGGCTGATCACTTGGACGTGCCTGCAGTCTTTTTTCATAGTGTGGCCAGGGTTTACATAAGCCAAGAACACCAATGTACTGCCTTGTGGCTATATGTCTTCGCTTCTGGAAGTAGGAAGTACAGTGGCAAAGATATCAATCAGAGGGAGGATTGCACGAGTGTGCGTGTGTGTGTGTGCGCGTGTGTGCAACCCTTTTACCAAGGGATAGGACTGGCAAGGATTTCTGACTGTTCTGCATGTCAGCAGGGGGGCAACCTCGTGAGCATAGCTGGTTGCCCAACGAAGAGGGCTATGCCACGGCTGATACTGGGTCTGACCAACCCAGCGTTCCTGCGAGTGATTCTGCAAGTGTCTTCTGCAACTGTTTGCTGAATTGTTACTGTTATGGCATGGGGCTAAGCCTAGAATCCCAATGTACTGCCTAGTGGCTGTCCGCTTTCACCTCTGACATTAAGAGTGCCTGTCAGAAACAAGTCAATCAGAGGGAGCATTGCACGGCGTGTATCTAGACTTTTTTTTATTCAGCCTGCCGTTTACGGTAGGGTTGCCTACTGCATTGGACCCTGAGCGGTTCTGAGCCCTGATCGGCTCTAACTGCATATCATTAGCCCTGGTCGGCTACCAGTTGCTGAGCCCTGTGCGGTTCAAACGAGTGATGTCAAACTCCTGAACGAGTAGCTGGCAGGCTGGAATCTGTTGGTCTGCTCAGAAAGGAGACATCGCAAATGTTCAGCCTTGAGACCGCCGGGCCCAATCAGCAATCATATAAGCCTCAGCGGTTTTGTCCTCCCGCCGATCTCTTCTGTTGAGAGGCCATGTCTGGCTGGTGCGGCAAAAATTGGAATGATCGACGAACAATTGGCAACAAGGGTGGTCTTCAGACATCTGGAAAAGCTGGTCTAGCGGTGGCGATTCGTTTTGGTCCAAATCACCGAAGCCTCCACTGTTGCCTTCGTCAGCAACACCTACAAGCCCGAAGCCGACTCTTCCAGTGTCTTCTCATTCTGACGAGAAGTTTTGGGATCGTTAGCCAGAGCATGGGAAACTCCCTGAGCTTTCACTTCGCCCTTTGAGTGAAGGACGGTACCAAGGAGAATCCTTTGGACCCGATCCGCATCGGAAGCTGTCTTCACAACTCACCTTTTGAAAAGAAGCCGAGAGTTGGATCAATATTGACGAAGTAGAACAGCTCGGACATTCTTTGCAGGTGAACTTCCCGACAAGCACAAGGATGCCTCGAGATTCATGCAGAAGCTTTCGTCAGATGTGGTAGATCATGTGAAAGCCAAGCTGCCAGCAAAACCGTTTTCTGATGAAGCTGAAGCCTTGGCAAAAGCCAGAGCCAAGCTTCTCACCTCATGGCTTAGTTCTGACCCCCGACAAGAGGGAGGCTCCGTCTAGCGCTGACACTGGGTTGCCTATCCAATTCGATCCCAATCCCAAGCCTACCAAGAATGCCAAGCTGAGCAAAGACTCAAGCGAAGATGAAGCCCGGAAACTTTTGAAAGGTTCTCCCAAGAACAAATAGGATTCTCGACCCAAGGGAGCGACCGATCAGCATGTTGAAGATTGGCTTCAAACGTTGAAGACCAAGCCAGTTCTTAAGGCAAGTTCACACAGCCGAAGCAGCATGTGAACACTGTTCAAGAGCTTTTCAAGCAAGGTCACTCCAAACAGGAGCTGACCACAGCAGCCGTGAAATTCGGCTTGGATGAGAAATTGGCAGCTCGTTTGACAATTAAGAACCTGTCGACGGTGATTGCAGCTGCCCAATTTGAAGCTACTCGCCTACGAAGCTTTGAACATGAAAAGTCACCAACGGAAGTGGCTAAAGCCGCAGATTCGCAGCCTTGGAGAAGCTTGCGCCTTTTTCATACAACACTGTCCAGATTTTCCGAAATCCTCGATGATCTGGTCTCAGGGATTGCTTCATTTGATTCGGCTGTTCTGTTTAAGCGATTCCACCATCTTCGACGCGCTGCCTCTGCAAGAGGCCCATAGAGGCCCCGTCACTAGTGGGCCGATGGTGGGGCTCTTGCGCGCATCCTTGGCCGAGTAAATGGAGCAGTCTGCAATGGGATATCTAAGGCCCCGTCACTGGTGGCTCTGAAGGTTCCATGGTGGGCTGTGAACTATTGTTGATACACTGCCTCTGCCGATGGTGGCTCTTATCAGTCATCCTTGGCCGAGTAAATGGCGCAATCTGCAATGGGATGTCTTTGACGCGCTGCCTCTGCAAGGGCCCCGTCACTGATGGTTTCATAGTGGGCTGTGTTGATGCAATGCCTCTGCCGATAGTGGCTCTTATCAGTCAACCTTGGCCGAGTGAAATGGACAGTATGCAATGGGATGGCTCGTGGCCACTGTACTGAGCGGAAAACCCTGTCAATGCTCAGATGGTTTTCGGTCGGTGCAAAAACGATGCTATCTCCAGCAGTGACTGATGTGGAGAAACGGATACTCTGATGTGGGCCTTAGACCTGAGTTTGTGGCGAACAGTGAGTCGGGAGGGTGCTGCACTGAAAAGCCTTGACACTTGAGTTAGCCCCGATTGTACAAGGAGTTGTTTTGAGAAATATGTCCTGTAGACTGCGAGAGACTGGGTGGCCGTACGAGGGCTGCATCGCCTTGCATGTCCTGCCCTCGGAGGCCTTTGCCCGCACCTTTTGGGTTGTGCCTCTGTATAGTTTGGAGGGTTGGGACTTTACCAGTTTATACCTGCATTATGTGGAGTCGTGCGCGACACTGCCAAGCGGGAGCCGGAAAAAGATTCCGCCTAGGTTTCCCAGCGGAAACATTACGACGAAAGCTTCAATCGATGCATGTTCATCCTGCCATGTACACCTGGCCTCGTTTTTCAAGACCCCAATACGGTGTACATGAAATCAGCAGTGGATTGGCACCTTTGTAGTACTGTTGAAGGCTGTCGGCAGCCTACATGTATGTTGGATCGACATCCATCACTGTTGCTAACAGAGAATCCAACAGGATGTCATCTTTTCGCCAGTTATGGCAAGGCCGACAAAATCAAGCAGAGCTTGCGGTTCGATAAAGGCATAGTTCAGCTACTTTTGAGTCGTACACCACGTTGTGACTTTCAACACGCGACACTTATCTCCTAGCACGGATACTTGAGCACATGCATGCATTTGCTCATCGATTCTTGGCAACCCAAGCTGAATTGCCCTGTTATAGGTGTACCTTTGCAGAGGACAGCATCGGGATTTCGTGCCAACACCAAAGTTCGAAGGAACTCCTATTCGAAGTTTGGACGAAGACTCTGGATCAAGCTGAGAAAGAAGCTTTATCCGAGTCATCGACCCTATAAATTTGGGGTGTCCAGGCAGAAAGCCTGGAACATGTTGGAAGGTCTCGCTAGTTTCACCAAGCAATCTTTTGAAGCCAGCAAGGAGATCCGATCTCAACGATGGCTTCCTTCAGAGGTACATGCGCTGACTCGTTTAAGCAACAACCTCCAAGAACCAAGTCGCTCCAAAGTGCGTCAATTTGTTCAAATCAGCGTGTCAGCGACGCAACATGACTTCTCGTTAGCCTTTTGCGATGGTCCAGAAACACAAGGTTAGAATATCAAGGCTTTTTTGATTTTTAATCTGAGGCCTGAAGCCTCATTTTGTCACGTACTTGGCGAACTTTGTCCTTGTTTGTACTTGACTTTATTGGCTTTTATCTGTCATTTTTATTTTGATCATTTATCCTGAAAGCTCTGCGAAGGGTTCTTTGGAGCAAGTTGTTGCCTGCCTACACTACTTACCTGCTTACATGCTTACACCCTATACACTGACTTCTCTACACTGACATGCTTACTTACACCTTCTACACTCACTTCTCTACATTCTCTACACTGACTTACATTTAGCTACACTGACTTCGCTACGCTGGCTTCCCTACACTGACTTACATATAAATACTAGCCTCAGTAAATGCCTAATATTCAAATACCAGCCTCATCCAGCCTCATTAGATGCCTAATCATCTCTTTTACTTTAACCCATTTCTTTAAGCCGGGGTAGGTCCGGCGCACTCTAGCGTCATAAACCCTCTTCAGGGATGCTGCGTGTCGCAGCGCTGGCGCTGTGGCGCGGTGCGCATTCTCAACGTGAGCCGTCTTCAGGGATGCTGCATTTCGCGGCGCTGGCGCTGTGGCGTGGTGCGCACTCGCAACGTGCCCGATGAACCGTCTTCACAGGGATGCTGCGTGTCGCGGCGCTGGCGCTGTGGCGCGGTGCGCGTTCTCAACGTGCCCGATGATGAACCGATGAACCTTCTTCCGGGATTCTGCGTGTCGCGGCGCTGGCGCTGTGGCGCGGTGCACATTTTCAACGTGCCGCGCTTCGCCAGGAGCAGCATGTGAGCTGCACCTGTTGGGATGATTGAGCCCTCACTGCATGCACAATCCTGGGAGTGCTGCGAACTGTACACATAAAACTTAGCTTACTATAGTGTTGCTGTTCTTGGACGTAGTCTTTGGCGGCCACACGGCATATCGCTTTGCCGACATAGTTCGCACCTCCTGCAGACATTTTGGATATGGAATGGTCTGGATGTTATGCTACAGCTATGAATTCCATACATTGTCCTGGTGCGTGGACATATCTTTTCCGAAAGTTGCGAGGATGCAAAGAAGCGCACGTGGCGCTCCAACTGCAGGGGGTAACTGCAACGAAACTTCCGGCGTTGAGGTCTTGGGGATAGTGCGGGGTCTACAGGCCATATACAACTGTTACTGGTTGTTGTGGTAGGTCTACTTGGACTTGCTACCGACTCGAAATAAAGCCGAGCTTATGGCATTAAGGTTGGTGCGGCAGTGTAATTAAGCATCCGATATGTTTCACCCGCCGCCATCATTGTCGAATCAACACCGGCGGCATTGCCGGGAGTCTGCAGGAATGACCGGGCCTGCATCGGAGTGAAAGATGGTTTTCTGTGGATTCGTTTCTAAGTATCTAAATATACGAACGAACCCACCAACAAATACGTACTGCAGCCGCTGCTGCTACTGCATGTGCATGCACTAATGGTTTCATCTCTCTCGCACTCTCTCCGGAAAGCTCTTGCGCTGGTATTGTACCCCATCGATGAACACACACAGCCTTCATGTTCCGGATGCCCGGGAGCAAGTTCGGATCCTCCGTGAGGTATGTGTTCAACAGATCCTCAGGCATTGCGGACATGAAAAGGTCCGCCTATTCTAGAATATTTTTTGCTGCTGTGCTAGCATGTACTTGCAAATCAAGCAGCTTCAAGAAGGGGCTTCTGTGCCAAGCGGTGTTCGGAAATGCGGGCCAGCACTATGCTATTTAAGTGATGCCGGGAAAACATGTGGTCTTTACGCCCCTAATAAGCCAGCTGGGTAAGTATCAGCGAATCACTTGTAGGCTTGCCAAATGTATACAACGGGCAAGCATGCACAGCACAGCTGCAAACTGCGGGGCACACTTTTGCAGACCCAAGCTTCGGACCGCCCACGGAAAAACTCATCATCAGATGAAGCCGGCTCGATAGCAATTGCATGTGAACTCGCAGCTTCAGCACGACTGCAAGATCGCGACTGGACCCCCCTTCATACCTGTCATACCTATAACTAGAGCACTTAGCCACAACTCTATTAATGTTCGGAGAACAACAAATAGACCTTATACCCCAGCCGGCCGATCCTTCAGCAAACTGCCGTGCAAAGATACGTCGTCGCATCCACAAGTAGAGCCGCCGGCATTGACCGGCATGGTGGCAGGACGTCTAGCCGATCACGACATTAATTCCTCACATTATGATTACTCGATGCAGATTTTCATCTTGCAAGTCGACGAGCAATAGCTGCAAACACGAAACCAAGAATTGCAAAATGCTTTGAGTACCTACACTACAAGCGAATGTCGGAACAGGATTACGACGACAACATTCACACTAGTATACTCGAGCAGTCGCAATCTGAGCGGCCATACGTGCTGCTTCAAACTCGACCTGAATTGCATAAAGGTGAAGATCTTACATTACAAAGTCCGAAAGCTAAACCACGACCCTTCGCAAACACACCGGCGCCGACTCATTTGAAAGTAATGGGCGCAATACATGGCGGCTGGTTCAACTTGAAATTTGCCTGTTTCCTGGCAGGGTCGTTAAGGAAATTTTTTGCCCTCATATATAATCGTGCACAAGCTGTAAATGTGTCGAATTCTCCCCACTAGCTACACCGATGCCCGGGCAACCCCCCGCCCTTCGGACTCGCACAACATCTCTCCGCACCACACAACCGGGAGGAGGCCGCAGCTGTACAGCAGGGAATCCAAGATACCAGCGATTAGATAATACTATTTATTTGACACACACACACACATATATATATATACACATGTCACCATACATATACATATATACATATATACAAATATACATATATACATATAGACATGTAGACATGTAGACATATAGACATATAGGCATATAGACATATAGACATATAGACATACATACATACATACATACATACATAGGTATGTATTTATGTATGCATGTACACTTGTATATATATATATATGTATCTTGTACATATATATATACACATACATAGTTAGCATATATATAATATACACACATATACATATATATATACATATATATATATATATTGACATTATGATATTATTGTATATTAGATATTCTTACGTTGGGGAGATTTGGACGCATGCCGGCGTAGGCGAACATTGGCAACATTACCAAGTAGAATGTATTTGCACACCGGGAGCCGCAGGATGTACTGCTTAGTGGCTGTGCGTCTTCACCTCTGACATTAAGAGCGTCTTTCAGAAACAAGTCAATCAGAGGGGAGGATTGCGCGAGTGTGTGTGTGTGTGCGTGTGTATGTGTGTATGAGTGCGCGCTCGCGATCACTTGTGTTGGTTTGCCACGCAGAAAAGCGAACCTTGTAGCAACACACAGCCATGCAAAGCTGTGCACTTGCCAGTTTGCACTGCTGGGTCGAACATTGGTGCATGTTAGAGCTCGATCAAGGTGACATTGCTATTGCCTAAGTTCTTGGAAAAGATCGCCGACACGACGCGTGGCTTTGATGTGCCCTGATGCTTTCTTCGGTAAAGAATTCCAACAGTCCTGAAAATCAGTTTTCGCGGGTGATTGACAAGCCTTCAAGATTTGGTAGTTAACGACGCTAGTCCTTCGGTCCTTGCAGGGGTCTCAACATGCTCCAGAGTGCAACTCGGTGTGACGACAACCGCTGGCGAGGACAAAATCCTATGCACATGGCGCACACGCCCGGATTACGCCTACGCTGGGCGGTTCCTAGTGGCACACTGCTATTTATCAACTGGGCCCGTCGGAACATTGCAACCCAGCCATAACAGAGACCATCGTTGAAAGATTAATCTTTTCATGGCACCCTAATATCAATATTTGCAATCTGAAAATCGTTTGGACCGTGATGTAACAAGGCGGTCCGAAACGAGAACTTTCAACGCTAGGTTAAAAAAGTTTGACATGTAGGGCAGGAGCTTATATCTGCGGTGCTTCACTTCCGCATCAACTCGAAGTCCCACGGCACATGTTGTTCATCCGAGGGCATCACGGAAGTTTATGGAAGCTACGGCTGGAAGGTTGTTCAGTGGCTGCAGCTCGGCTGACCCCATTGACAGACACTGCATGGACCTGGCGCCCCAATGCTTCGCTGGTATTTAAATATGATTATCCAGATGCTTTCTGCAACTAGGTGGGGAGAGATGGCAGCCACGGGCAACAGACTCGGTGCCCGAGACGCAGAGAATTTAGCAAGCCCATAGCCGAACGTCAAGTCAACCAGTGTTTCCAGCAAGCAGCCACGTTTCGAGCACCATCAGCCCTAGAAATTTGGCCTTCGGTTTGGACTTGCTCAATCTGCTGTGCGCTGGAAGTGCTGCTGCATGAAGCGTGAATAGCTGGAAGTCCAGTCGACAAGCCTTGCAAGAGTCATTCCGAGAATAAGTGGTGAAAGGCGCGACGATGTGGCTCGTTTCTTGTCATAGTGGCGCGCTAGCTGAGGATTGTTTTGCCTACGATGCTTGGAGGCTTGCGTGTGCTTGTCCTTGCTCCGGATTCGAAGATGCTCGAGTTTCATACCGTGGCCAGGGGTTCGACAAAGTGGAGTTCACCAGACTGCGGCTTGAAGCAGGTGGTCCGGTAGCTTTGAACATTCCGCGTGCCGGTTGTGTTTGGGGTAGGGTCTGGCTGAGAGTGTGACAACCAACAAGGTGGCAGCGATGTTTGACGAGTCAGTGGCACGGCAGATTCTTCGGCCCATTCTACGGATGGTGGACGGCATCAAGCAGGCATCGTTGTCCCATGCTGATTCGATTCGCTCTGATATCCACTGCCCGGTCTCATAGACATGCAACCCGCCTGCCCCGGGTCGAGCAGCCAGACGTACCAGGAATATGAAGAACCGATTGCGATAACCTTGAAACGTTGTTTTACGTCCCTGTCACCAAATCGTGCTTCTCTGCCCGGTAAGTTTTGATGCTGCCGCAGGGGTTGCCACCGGAAACAGCCCAGCAGATTGACGCCATGGTTCAGATGTATGCCGCACACCCGGCCGCCACTTGGCAGCCAGCTAGACGACGACCAAAGAGGCGGCAAATCCTTTCCAGCTTGTATCGCTTGCATCCACAACAGGACCTGGCGATGGTGTTCGGGGGCCAACAGCTGATATCGCTCTTGCCCCCTGAGGCCCATTTCCCAGTACCATGGGATCTTTTTCCCCTTATCCAGACGCGTACCATGCGATCTTTGTAGTGTTAAGTTCTGTCAGCTGCTCACCAAATTCAGCTGCCGAACTGTTAGTGTGCCTCTGTCGCAGGAGCAATTTGCATGGGCGAATGCCCTGCCTCTTGGCGAGACTTCAAATCAAATCGGGAAAATTCTGGCACTGAGAGATGCAAGCATGCCTACGGAAGGCAATGCGCCAGCAAAGACGGAGCACCCATTGCCGTAGTCGGGCCTCTTCTGGCAACTCATGCAGAGATCTTGGGAGACAGGCCAGGCCGATTTGTTCCTGGCTTGAACCGGCTTGAAATGTACCAGTTCAGTTCAGTGTTCTACGCACATCCTGTCATATTCTTTGATTTCCCTTCACCATTGACACATGCGGAAAAAGCAGCAACAGCCCAGTGGCTCGTTGAGCAGGCTGCAGATGACGCTGAAGGCAATAGCCAGATCCCCCGCACTGACTCAGAATGGGGACAAGACTCTTGGCAAGCACCGCTACACATCCATGTCCACGTTGTGGTTGCCGTGATCGCTGCTAATTATATTCCAGGTTTCTTCCACCTCTGAATGCCGCACTCCGAGTAGTGAACGCAGCACAGCTTGGCCCAGATTCCTTACGTGCAGATTGCCTGTGTCCAGTCCCCAGAGGGCAAACGCTGCTTGTGATCAGGGCTGGGGCAAGTGCACTATCGGCCCTTCCATCGGCCCCGTAAGCATCGCCGATTTGCTCCCGCATCCGGGCAGCACTTGTCCCATGTTTGACTATCTTTGGTCTTTCGCCCCTGGTAGACGGCCTCCCGGATTTTAGCAGTATGTGGAACTTGTTCGTCAGAGTCCAGGCTATCGACGTTCAAGAGCACACATTGGTTGGAAGGGCAGGCTACAGTAGTGTCTAGACTCGGCAAGGCATGTTTCGGCAAAAAGAGGAAGGAGCGCCATCATAGGATACCAGGGTCCTATGCCATCGGTTGCTGAACGGTCATGGCAGCGCGGACCCGTGCCCCAAGGGCGGAGGCGAAGAACATCGGAATAACACTACCGCAGACGTCCCTCGGGCCACTGGAGGTGAAGGCTAGACTCGGCGTCCCTTTGAGCAGAGTTTGTTTGGAGCGGGTTTTAGTGGGAACCCTTGGGTAGTGACTTAGTGCTTCCTTGGGAAGGTGCCTTGTGATCTGGGAGTTGGAGGTGCAGTCGGACCCTTGGTTGAGCTGCTCGGTGAGGAAAGGACTTTCTAAGCATGTTTGACGTGTTCCCGAGAGCCTCGCGAAGGGCTTTCCATGGATGGCATGATTCGGCATGATGTGATGATCTTCATGCAATGACGATGATGTTGATGTCAGGTTGTCTCTCAGAGTAACACAAGGCTTGTTCACGCGGGGGTTGGTAAGACTCTGATTCTGGCGGAAGCCACTTTGCTCTTAAGGATCGATGGATGCATAGACGGATGGATGAGTGCGTGCAGGGGTAGATGAGTGTCACAGTGAATGGTTGCATGGGGTGGATGGATGTATGGATGGACGTGCATCTGGATGCATGGGTAGGTGAGTGGATAAATAAGTGCCTGGTCAATTACATGGATGTATGGGTGGGTTGGTGGATGGATGCATGAGCGGATGCACGAATGGTTGCGTGAATGGATGACTGGCAGAGCGGATGGATGCAACCGTGAATACCGATGCTCACTGCTCTGCACTCTTTCCGGACAGGCGGCTCCAATTGTTGAGTGCAAAGGCATCATTCTCGCAAAATGAAGTCTGGTCAGGATGATGGTTACCATGCCAACTATGAATGACACGATGATCCGATTAGCAGCACTGTGCCTTGGAGTAGGAACGGGTGCTACTCTGGCCAGCACGCAGGTTTGCTTGGCAAGGTGCATCGTCCTGCCATTGCTTGCGATCGTGCTGGAGGATGTCTCATGTGCCTGCCACGTCGGCATGATGTGTCTCCGCCTTTGAACCAGGCCAGCACAGCTGGCTTATTGGGTTCTTCAATAGACAGGATTTATCGCAGAGCCCTCGCATCGCCCGGAAGTTCACCATCAGCAAGCCCGTGCCACCTGAGATGCTGACGCTGGAGGCCCTTTCGTTCGTTGCACAATGGCAGTCAGCAAACCGTGCATGGGAGGACCAGGATGTTCGAGCAGAGAAAGACAGGGTGGCGACGGTGGATCCGCGCAAGCAGGCGGCGCCTTTTGCGAAGGACAGTGCTCCTTAAGGGTGCGTAGCGGCGTAGAGGTCATGTACGTCAAGGGCCTGCGCAAAGCCTACGGTTCGCTGCTGAGCTCGAAGGCGCCTCTTCGAACCTTACAGTAGAGCTTTCAAGTTGCATAATTGAACTTCGTTGCGGCCAATTGCAGGTCACTCATGCCGTGAGGGGTGTCACTTGGGCCGCAGACCAGGCGGGTGCCGTGCAGCCAAATTTGCTAAGTAACTTCAGCGCACGGCTTGCAGGTTGCTGCCTGATAGTGCTCGAGCAAAATTGCAAGCCGCAGGGGATGGTGTTCGGTCTGCTGGGTGTGAACGGTGCCGGGAAGACGACATCGTTCAAGCTGATGTCAGGCCGCGGGGGCGGGTGGTGTAAACTGCTGCGAGGCGTACGATAACAAGCAATGAGAGGCGAATAAGCCCGTGGCCCCCTGCCAGCAAAGGGATAGCAGTCGAAGGTTGGGAAAACAAAAAACATGCAGACAGCAGCCCTGACAAAGCCGAGCTTTGCAGCACGGCAGAATGCGAAGACGCAAGCTTGGCCAGGAATCCTGACCCCATCAGCTGGAGAGGTGCGTGTGTTGGGCAGCTATGCTGCAGGGAGATCTCAAAATACTGCCAGAGCAGGGCGCATTGCCGCACGCCTCCTGCCGCAGCTTTTCAATTCCTGCCGTAGGATTCGAGCGAGAGGGATTCCTTGTTTCTCGAGCAGCTTCTTTCTTTCAAGGTATTGACATGGTGGAGGAGACGAGCCGGGCCCGGCGGTTGATCGGAGTTGCAGCTGCGAGTAAGATCGAATTGCAGCTCACATTGATTTTTGCGAGTCCTCTGAGCGTACAGTTGTCGCATCCAAGGATACTGCCCACAGTTCGATGCCCTCATCCATGTCATGACAGTCGAGGCGCACTTGTACCTGTATGGCCGCATGAAAGGCGACTGGGTTTGAGAAGCTGGGGAGACCTGGTCACCATGTTTCGGCCTGTTTCAGAGAAGTGCTACAGCAACGGCATTCTCAAGCTGAGATCCTTTCAGCTCAAAGCCCAGGCCTCACAGGGAAAGACTTAAGAAGTGCTGCAGCTTGGTGCATGAAGAAGGGCCATCCTGCCCGTGCTATTCTGGCTGACTGTGGGTCGTTGTCATAGTCACGTGGCACTCCAGCATCACTCCAGCATACTGCACGTAAGGTAGACGAAAAGGTGGAGGAGACCCTGAAACGGAATTGGCTCTCACACTTCGAACCTTTGCCACCAGCTCTAGGGCACGAAGCAGGAGATGCAGCTGTCCCAGTACCGCTTCCGTCGAGCCGGGACGCTGTCGGGTGGTACGGGAGCCAAGTGTTGAGAGAGTTCCATAATAGAGTGCCAGAACTTGCTGTCTTGCCACGAAGGGGGCACGCGGCCCTTGCACCTTCTCGTGTGCTGAAGGCAACAAGAGGAAGTTGTCTGTCGCAATGGCGCTCATCGGCGAGCCTCCGGTGATCTTTCTCGACGAGCCAAGCACAGGCAGAGGGCCTTTGAGACTGACTCCTTGCTGTTGCAAAGGTGCCAGAATGAGCTGTGTGATTATTGGAGCCTGCCAACTCTAGCACATTCCTATGCACGCCTCAGACCTCTGATGGACACAGGCTGCAAACAGTACGGCATCAATCATTTGACCCGATGTCACCAGTAGTACTGTGGCTGGCAGCGAAGGTATGGATCCGTTTGCGCGACGCTTCATGTGGTCTGTCATACAGGAGCCTTTCCTGCAGAAAGCATCGGCGAGTTAGCATGCCGTGCCAGAGCTGCCAGAGTGGTGATGACCTTCCGAAGGTAAGACTCCAAGCTCAGGACATGGCAGAGAAGCGAAAGCAATCGGTCGTGGTGCTCACCACCCACTCCATGGAGGAAGCTGAGGCCACGTTGATGTGGTACCGTCACGACCCACGAAATCTGCAAAGCCCTCATCTGCTCCTTGGCTGAGGCATTGTGCAGCAGCATCGCCATCCAGGTTGATGGACAGTTCCGATGTGTCCTGGCCGAGAGCGTGAGTGGCAGACAGAGACACGACAAACACGACTTGCTTCAGACAGTCGACGAAACAGAAGGTCTCGGGTCCGCACAGCACTTGAAGTCCAGGTACGGGTCAGGCAAGGGCACTTGCATCTTCATGGAGACACTGCCTGGATGAGAATTTCTCGTGCCCGTGTCAGGCTATGAGGTGAGCGTGAAGTTCAATGCTGTTCCACGCGAGGTCACGCACAGTTCGTGAGAGGGACGAGAGAGGTCTTGGCATTGAGGCGCACTGAAGCAGCTGAGGCACTCGCACAATTGGCTGCCAAGTTTCTTCCCGCAGGCCCTGGGGAGAGCGGGGCTGCGGGTTTTCCTAAGACGCAGCAGGACGCAGACGGCTTTCAAGTGGTTAAAGTGGTCTCCAGAGCCTCCTTGCAACTCGCAACCGTTCGCCAGCGGCTCTCGTGCTAGATTCGATGCACAGACGGAAGATGTTGCGGCATCCGTGGCTAATCTCAGAAGAAGGCCGAAACTGCTTTGCAATCCGCTGGTGGACGTATCTGCACGGCTACAGTATCAATCAAACCTAACCTGCCTTGTAGCATCCCTATCCACGGAACCGCAACCCGTTCCGGTCTCTCTTCAGTCAAACAGTTGAATGAACAGAGCGCCAGACCCGGCGATAGCCAGTGCTCAGAGCCCTTTCTTGCAGTTGTTGTTGGCTCAAGGCTGGGTTGGCTCTCTGCATGCCTCTGACTGGACAGATCCGGTGAGTGCACACTTCAAGAAACACTACAAAGATCTGCAAAGCCTCTGCCCGTATGCCCTTCTGCCCAAAAAAGGACGACAGCTGGATCGAAGTGGTTATTCGATGATCTCGCGATCGCAGGCCTGCAGTGACCTGCGGTGGCCACTTTTGTATCGGTGCCATGCTGGACCGACTGATTGCATGTTCTGGAGCACCTGGATAATCATAACCGCGGCAACAATATGAAAACAAGAACTGAATAGCCTACATATCAATGACGGCAATATTAGGCAACATTGACCCTATGTCCTGGATAAGCTGATTCAATGCCCCGCAGGCCATGGAGTCCCTGCCTCTGGAGCTTCGAAATACTGCAGCTCTGCCATCTGGTCCTCTGCCCGCCAACATGGAGGCAAGGGAAAGGGGTCAAGCCGCCAAGCAAGACGGGCAAGAACTGGCACTGATTGAAGTCTATTTAGGGTTATGATTCAGTCACGATGATGAGTTGCAACACGGGCAAACAGCAAACGCAATCTGTTTTTGGCAGGAGGTGGCGGCTGAAGTCGTGGCAGAGTGGCAGGCAGCTACCAACAGAATAGTCGAGTGCTCGTTGGCGATTCTCGTCCAGTGCGTCTCCGCACAAGAGTCACACGGACCATGCCATCCCAGCGCATGAGCTTGGACGACCTAGACCCGAGCATTTGTAGTTAGCGGCAATAGAAATAGAGGCTGTGAGCTCCGCACCGGACACGTGCCCCCGAAAGAAATTAGCTCGCTCAAATGCATGCTCTAGAAGCTGTTTCTCAGGGTGCTGTTCACGTTGTATTGGAGAGCCCTCGCACAGGTGCCTTCATAAATTCATGATGATTCATGGATAGGTTAGGACAGGCAGGGAGGAGACATTTGTGAGAACGTCGATGTCTTTGTGCCACTTCTTCTTGTTGGTTGCTGACGGCTTCTTGGGTCCGGGACAGGAGTGCAAAGGTTTCAAAAGTAACCAGGTAGTGTCAGGGTTGAGCCTGCTCAGTTGCTTGTCGTCGAGTTTCAACGTTGTGCTGCGACGACTGGAGTAAGGGCAGGCAACAGGTGTGGACAAGCGCGCAGGATTCGATTACAAGACTTCTTTGCCTCACTTCTCCGCCAGGTGATGCAAAATCGCTTAGAGCAGTTCAAAGGCTGGGATTGGTAGTCTCCGGAGTCGAAGCCTGAATTAACCACATGTGCATGTGCGAATGTGTGGGAAGCGGCAAAAGTGAGAGATCGGGAGATCTGGAACTCGGTGCTGAGATGCTGCAGTGTGGCACGAGCAGGCTTCTTCTCCGCCCCTGCACCGGGTTTGGCAGAGCTTCAACTGGGCAAGGCGAGGCATCTCCGGCAGAGCCGGGGATCAGTCGAAGAGTGGAGGGTCCGCCCGGGGAGGGTCCCCGGAGTGGCCAGGTGATGGTCCTCGAGTTCCATGGTAGCTCGCTGCGCCTACGCCTGCCAGCTGCCGGTGAAGAGCAACCGGCATGCACAGGCGAACGCCTTTCCACAGGACGTGCTTTACGACGGAGGTCCCCAACAAGTACTTCGAACTCATGACCGGTTGAGCTCGTTTGTTCGAAGTGTCAGTAATCAATCCCAACAGCTTGGAGGGCTGGGCGAAGGGCTTCCTCGAAAGTTGCCGATATCTTGGGCCTAGGCAGCTTCCCAAGCTTTTCGCAGCGCTGTCCCAGGCGGGGGGCTCTTGTCAGCCAGAGTGTGCGTGTGTCGACCTCTCGTCGACTCGTGGATCAGATGGTTCATCTCAACAGGGAGTGCTAGGAAGGCTTGTAACTTGTAAGGCCATAGTGCAGCCCTAGATGGGGAGCGCATGCCGTGAATCCCAGAAGTCCTGTCGGTCCTGTTGTTACCGTAAACTGGGCAGGCCAAGTCGCAGTTTGGTTTGAACGACTTCGCGGTCTGCTTCGGACTTGGTATGGTGATTACCGACTCAATGAAGTTGCCATGATGTGGTGCTGATGCTTGCACAGGTCAGTCCTCTCTGGAGCAGGTCTCGCGGGAGATTGTCATAGATTGTCCATTCGCTTTTAAGCCTGCATGTGCCCATGCCAGTGCTTTTCGTCGTTTCAGCAGGTCTTCAACAGTTTTGCGGCCGAACAAGAGCAGGAGAAGAAGGAGCCGAAGTCAAGCCAAACCAAGCTGAAATGTGGCGTGCCTTGATGCCATCTATTCTATCTTGCTACATCTTGCACAGAAAGATCCCGAAAGCCGAAGGACTGATTGCAGGTGCGGGCCGCTTCCGAAGAGGCTTCAACTTGCGGTACTGGCCTGGCAGATAGTTCCATGAGAGATCATGAGAGTAAGATTAAGAGACATCTTTACCACATTGCCAGATGCGGCAGGCAACTGAGAGTCTGTGTCGACTTGGCCCATGGTACTGACAGGCTGCTGTGCCACGAGCTGCCGGGCACTATGGCGAGTTGATGATAACGACGATGTTGGTCCTGGTGCATTGCCAGTGCGAAGCACGACGATGGTACATTTGCACCGTCGGTCCTGCTGCTGCATTCGCACCCAAGGCGTTTGACATTGTCTGACCAGCTGCAGAATCAATGTCATTCTTGGCAGTGTCCGAGTTGTGTTGCGTGGCGTAGTGTACGTAGTTTATAATTCGGCGCAGAATGCCAGCGTTTCAGGACCTACGGCCAACTGGTAAATCGATTAATGGATTGAGCGCGAAGAAGCCGTTCATAACTGCACCGAAGAAGAGCTGCCTGACATCCGCCGATGCAAAAACACGTCTTCAAGGCATCGAGCATAAGCTGACGTCATTTTACTCGAAACTGTTTTTGTGTCTTATGTTTGAGCTTCACTTATCCGTCCAGCCTCTTCTATCCCGTGTGGAACGAACGCCAGATCCAAAGTTGATCTCGAATGAATTAATTCAGATGCACTGCTGTAGGTGGCAGCAGGTCACGGTACAGCATGAGAAAGAATACAACAACATTGCTTCTGGGCATGTGCAGCTGTGATGGGATCTATCATGTTTCCTAGGCATACAAGGCTTTCTACATGTGGCATGTAGCATTCTGAAACCACATGGCCCAACCAATGCAGGACGAGAGTTTGGGTTTGTCGATCGTGAGGTGACGTGGCAATTCAATTCTTTGCTTCTCAGGCCGGAGAACCAGGGAAAGCTGTACAGCATTCCGTTGATGGATTGGCTCGCTGATAAGTACAAGGACACGAATGCGCCTTACTTGGGCGGGAACGTTGTCGTCACCATGGCCTCGTCGGACCCTGCCCAGGACGAGTTCGACAATTTCTCGGAGAAAATGACTAGCACGGCGCAGAAACCTGAGCAAGACTCATGCTGAAGATGTTGCGCGTGACCTGGTAGTAACATGCCGTCGCCGCATGGAGCAGACTAGATCTGATTTCAGGCTTGCTCGCGGCTTCACATGGCCAAAGGCGGAGATTCCGATAGCGTGTTCGTTTGTTAAGGGCAGCAGCAGAATGTCTTGCCGTTGCGGTGGAAAGCTTCCGAGTTTCAGGGAGCACACTTCAGTTTTAAAGCCAACCACATCAGGCCGGCAAAGTCTGGGGCAAGTATACCGACGAGCACTGGGAAAAGCTAAGTGGCTTCGGCTGTACCATTAATTAATATTAATGCTGTACTGCTTCTGGCTCAGAAGTCTTTCCCCAAGATGTGACTGTGAGGGTTCAGGAAATTTGGGTTCGCGAAGATGACACACACACCCCATAATTTCACGAAGTTTTTGCAACTTAGTTGGTTTTCGTGTTGGTTTCTGGTTTTCGCTAGTTTGGTTTTTTGCATCTGAGACCACCTGAAACCATGAGCAAAACAATTGCGGCACGTGTTAGGGTTATTACGGTGTTGGTATGGTGTGTTGCTCAGGGCTGGCTGGTCTTGGGTCTGAAATCCACTCAATTCATGTTTTGGTTGTTTGGGCTGGGTTTGGCTCCATTTCAAGCCTCGGCCCCCGGCCTCTGAATGCTCCTGTGCAGGAGCTGCAAGCGTGAACAAATCCAGAATGTTGTCATCACTTCAAGCTTAAAACAACCATTGGACCAACGGAAAAGCCATACAAAAAAGGCTTGCACATTTTCAGGCCTTTAGTCCAATACAAAAAGGTCGGGTTCCACAAAACTGTTGAAGCTAGGGATCTGGTTGCCTATTTCCGTGGCAAGCGGAAAGAGTGTCGCATAGAGAGATTGGTTGTCCCGGCGACTGGAGCCCCTGCAAGCTTGCAGAATCTTAGGCTTCTGGGCGTCGATGCGCCTTCAAACGCTCTTCCGGACCGTCGCGGGCATGATGCCGGACAGCCTATGCTCTGGGATGATGCATCAAGCAATGCTGCCCCTGAATCACGATTTGTCATCACACAGTCGAGCGTTGTGCCGACTGTGAAAACACGGATGTCTGTAGGAACCTACCCGTTGCTGTACTGGCTGGGATGCTCGCAGTTGCGAACGTAGCAGAAAGTTGTGCAATAGAACCCTGGCTGTGCATTTTGTGATGATATGCTTGTAGAAAATGCACTCAGGGGGATACGAGCGACTGCGATGTAAGGCACTACCATCAGGCTCTACAATGCCATTTTGAAGCCCAAGGTGATCGAAGGGGCAAGTGCCGCCCCGGGTTTTCTGATGCGTGTGCAGCGCAATCAATGAAGTGTCGCACGTTTCCGGCACGTGTTGCTTCTGGTCAAGGCTGGGACAAGTGTGGGACCCAAGCGATGCCTTCACCTGCATCGCGGGGCCCTTACAACATGTTTGTGTTGCCTGACTGCCTGAGCGTCAATGTCCGGGCCAGCAAACAGCCGTGAGCTCCAGTGTTTAAGGCGATGCAACATGCAGGATTTTCCGGGGGAATCTTGTGTCATTTTGGCAAACATGAAATCTCCTGGGGACAGAACCTCCAGCCGCGATGTGCTGCGCTCCAGACTCGCAAGGTGGCCATGCAGATGTACGCCTTCTTCAACCCCATGCAGCTCAAGCACACCAACATCATGTCCCTGGCAAAGAAATCCTCGCGTGAGGTTGTGTTGCAGTCAAGATGCAGTAGCTCACGTCATGGTAGGGTGCAGAGGTCACTGAGGATTCTGCAGAAAGTCCCGAACTGATGGATACTAAACGAAGTAAGCGGTCTAAATCGGTTGTACGGCGGCTGGCCACAAGCGTGCATTGCATGTAAGCCTTGAACAGAGTTCCAGGTTCCGGAAGTTCCCTCGGTCCATGAAGGCCTGGCGGCTGCGTGTTTGCAGACCTGCAGTGGGAACACCCATGCTGCTGGCGTCTCTGGACAGTTGAGAAGGCCTTCATGCTGTCCATTTGTTGTCACAGGTGGCGTTTATCGACTACGAAGATCTGGAGGCTCGCCGAGCCACAACCGCAACCGTGGCGCCTGCAGGGTGCAGAGTTCAGGGTGCACGAGAGGCGGCGGACTGGCCAGATGGCATTCATGAGAATCAGAAGCGGCGATACTACAGTTGCTGGGGCCTTGGTTGTTTGGTAAAGAATGCCGTCTGTATATCTTTAGATGAATTAGGTGACGTCTTGCTCACAGGCAGTATTGTGTTTTCAGCTCCGAGGCCTCATCGATGCCAGCTGCCCTCCAGACGAGACCGGCCGCAGAAAGGCGAAGTACAAGATCGAACTCCCCGGGCTCGGGACCTGGGGACATGACTGGGTGGGTCCTTACAGTACGTACAATCTTCGTGAAAGTAATCTGGCAACGATACCGACTGCTTTGCCTATCGCCGTCACCATCATGGTCATCTACAGGGTTTAGGGTCGTTCTTCTTTGCCTTGAGATGGGGTTTGCACATATGGCACTGGCTCAGGGTTAGCAGGTTAGCAGGTGGCTGTCATCGGGCTTGTTTGCTTCTCACCGTGGCTACCCCCCTCCGACTTTAGCCCTCAAGGCATCTGGCCAACTGGGTGAGTAGGATGTTGGGTTTGCTCCTGCAAGGTTTCCCATTCTTGGCGACGGCAAGGGTGACAACCAGAACACCGCGATTCCTTTCACCCGCGGAACCTACGTTCAGTGCATTGATGCCAACCAGGCCTGTCCTGTGTCCCCAAGCCGTCCGTGGATGCGCGGGCGGCAACCGATCAATGATGATTTTGCAGCGGCTGTAGGCTACATGGGCATGCCCTGTCCTACTCTTCGAGTACCGAGTTTGCTTGCAGGGCGCGTACTTCGAGCAGATGCTTCTCTTGCCAAACGTCTTGGGTGAGTTTCGTTCATCGCGCTCAGGTGGCAGAGGCGGGCCCCGGTGTAAGTGACGAAGCAGGAAAGGGCAGTAAGGATCAGGGGGCCTGAACTTGGGGCCTCCCGCCATTTTTGAAGCCGCATGTTGATCAATGCATGCTGCATTGTCACGTCAGAATCCATTGAGTGCCGTCAAAGGCGGAAAGAAGATCATCGGATTCCCAGAGCACATTACCAGCTGCCTCCTCAGCTAGGAGCCTGCAGGTCCGTCTTTTGCAGCCAGTGCAGGTTGGGGCTTAGTGCATCTGACCCGTGTGCATGCGGATGCCTGCTACGTGCAGGGCTCATGAACGTACGTGTTTATCTTCTCCCTAAGTATAGTGTACATATGATGGTGGTGATGATGACGATGACCCCTGAAGCATGGACGTGATTGGTAATGGGCTGCGAGCATACGACTGGCCCGAAAGCTTTTGCTATGAAGCCTCAGCGGAATGTCGAATGGGAACTGAGGCGACTTCGGCTCAGTTGGAGATTTCGCAGCTTCATCAGAGCTGGCCTTTGGCGGGGGACCAGGTGATCAATTGTTCTGGGCCTTCGCTTGTTACTCCAAGTGTTCGAAGCATTGGGGTAAGATTTTAAACATAGGCGCCCGGTCGCAACTAAAGACCTTGTCGCACAGGGCGCCTGTAGGCTGGCATCCGGATCTTTGTGCAAGAGCTGCAAAGCATGTGCACTGAGCCGTGTGGATTCCTGCGTCAAACAGAAGCCAAGCTGGTTGAGACACAGCTCCAGTGCTCCCTACGCTTCCTTCCAGAATTGTTTCTTTAGGAAGTCTCTCGATCAGAACGTTGTCGGCAGAGTCCAACACCCACAAGAAGAGTCCAAATGCTTCACTCCTATATGCAATGCCGGCCTTATGGCTTCGGATGCCTGCGAGAAACCCTCCGAACTGCAGCTGGGCCTGACGCTCCTTGAAGCTGCAAAGAGACCGAGAAGGGCAATTTTGTCGGAACGTGTTCCATCCATGCTTGTGAAGTGAGAGGCGAGAACTCCGAGGTTTTTTTCTGGCCGGAGCGGGAGGTGGGAATCATCGGAGCTGCTCCTACACCGCTTCGAGGCGCTGCGGCAGCTAAAACATCCGAACCTTTGCTGTGGCTTGGCAAAAAGCGTCGCCGAAGTGCAAGGGACTACAGTACGCGTGTCAAGCTCTGTCACACCTAGCAGACCGTCCCCCTCCCCCCCCCCCGAAATACATACACATAGACAGCCCTGAGCTCAGCGCTTCAGACCAGCTCGCCAGACCGCAATGGCGTTAAGTCGCAAGGTTACCTGGAAATCCTGGTTGGTCACGGCTTGGCCTTCATCGCTAGTGAGCATCGCTCGCTGACGCTGGCTTCCGTGTTGAAAGAAGCCAGAGATGGCCTGCAGGAGAAAGTGGTAAGGACCGGAGGGGACAAAGACAGAGATGTCTCGAGCATGAAGTCTCGGGCAGTCCAGTCTGATGTCAGCAGGAGTGTCACTGCGCAGGTCGTGCAGGCACGTGAAGAGTTGCATCTGCATTGGGTTTTTTTCTAAGTGCGTCGTGGTGACGAGACGTTTCTGAAAGGGGCTTTGCCACCTCAATTCGCATGCCTTGGTCCACGGACAGCTTGATTCCTCATCAGCCGCTTGGGCCGGTAGCAGCTTTCCATGGGTCAAGGAAACTACCGCGTCGAAGCTTGTAGCGAGGCGGCATGATCGGCTGAAAGAGTTTCAGAGTTCTGAGGTCTTGTTGGACGAAGGCTTTGCTGCTGGGAACCTGGCTACATGTAGAATCCTCCTCACGGGCCACGGGTGTCTTCGGCTGCATCAATAATCATAACCTCTGCCGTGACAGTGCCTTTGCTCGACACGCACCTCGTTTTTGACAGCTACACTGGCACCTAGATTCGGCAGTACCTGACAGATGCGCGACGCACGCTTACTGTTGGGCACCACAATACTTCCAATAGTAAGCATACCTTGAACAACTCGAAGGAAGGTTCATTTGCAGCACTGCCAAGCGAGCAGGCTGGGACACTTGATGGCCTGCGGGCGCTTGGCGAGCTGCTATCCGCTGGCTCCTGAGGAATCTCTTTCATGCTGTCACGTTGATGCGCCCGGTGCTGGTGAGACCATGCGGCTCTTTTCGCGCGCTCGTGTGTAATTGGGGGTTGTCCCGACCTACGCTTCAAATTTGGACCACCCAATAGTATGTCGTGGTGTTTTCGTTATGTTCTGACCGTTCTGACCAGCACAAATGGTCGTTCGAGGGCAAGTCAAGTCTCTCTGTGCGGCTTCTGCACCGGAATTCTACATTGGTCTCATTGGTGTTTATGTGGCATGTTCCACTACCTCCGAAAATCTCGTGACATTCGCTGTTCGACCCAGCAAACCCTGCCTGGATCTGTGAGGGCGGTGAGCTCCTGTCATTGACATGAAAGCCCAAGGTATAGTCGCAGCCCCGGAACTTTGAGAAAGCCCCAATGCTGCAGCCATGATGCTTCATCCCTCGACAGGACCCGTGCTGCCTGGCTCCTGAAGTCGCCCGTGCGCCTCAGCAGCAAAGCAGCTGGCATGCGTCATAGAGTCATGGCATTTGGAACTCTGCAGCGGGGCCAGATCGAACGCGAGTGGATACTGACGTTGCCATGTAGCGCAGCAGGCAGCAGCAGTAAGGCAATAATAGTGCATGCCAGCCCTCGCTGGCTGTGTCTTGCTTGGGCAGTCTGTCGGTGGGGTGGTGGAGAGATGGCTCGATTGAGCAACCAGATTCGCTGACCCTCAAACAAGTGTTGGCCTGGAAAATCGTTGCGATGTCACGGTAGATTGATGTAATGATGATAGATTAGATGCGACAAGCGGGGGTTGTGGTGGACCAAGTCACCCCAGTCGTAGCTTCCGTTCAATGAACTGAAGCATTCCAACATGGCTCGTTGAGACTTGCAAGCACGTCAGATGGGGCATGTTCTGCAGCAATCGACGAATTCAGCGACCAGCCATGAACAGGTTTCTGGAAACTCTTTGAAGCATTGGCCCCGAGGCATGCAGCACTTCAACGGTCTCACCGGTAAGCGAAAGCCCCAGCTGCCAGCCAGATGTGTGGGGCCTCGGCGTTCTTCTGCTGTGCCTGGGCAAAACACGTTACATACATGAACGGCAGCCACTGAAGCCGAAGCCAATGCAGAGGTTATGTACTCGTTTGTGCGAGGTGTCGTTTGACCCACCTAGCATCGCAGACAGGCAGATGTTGCAGGGCCGATGGCAAGACCGCCTGGTGACAGAAGGAGCCCCGCAGCTGCGGTACGTGTTGCTTCCGACAAGGTTTACACCTAGGGGACAAGCGTAACGTCGCCCAGTAGCTCTTGACTCCTTGCATGATACGTCACAGCTGCGCTCGCAGAGTGGAGCAAGCGCGGAGCTTTGGTGCCTTGCCCCTGCTCACAGCCATGACCTACTGTATGACCTGAACTGCTTCACGTCGTTTGTATCAGATGGCAATTCGGTTGGGGGTTGGGCCGCTCTTGTTCATGTAGGATGGCTTAGGGTTTCGATGTTCGGATCTGGGCTCGCTACTGTAGCTTTATTCTGGCCTTTGCTCAGCGTGTTTTCAGCTTTCCGCCCACTACAAGATCAGCTTTACTATGCCTTTGTTCCAGCTTCTACGTATAGCTTTATTTAAATCTTCTTTTTTTCAATTGCTGTTTCCAGGCCACTGTTCGGAAAGGAACGTTCCAAGCCTACTATACGCCTGCAGGAGTGCAGAATGCGCCGCAGCTTTGCCACATCGTTGCGGTCGAAACTTCTGCCGCTGACGCAGCACGTTCAGCTGTTTCACGATAAGTTGTGTTGAGCATCTGCGTTTGGTGTTGTTGTTGCTGCTCGGCTTTCGGACTTAGGCAGAGCTGTGGTGTAGCGCCCTGGCCGGGCCGAATCCGGGGCTGACGCTTCGCTCTTTGTGCCTCGGAAGTGCGCAGCGGCCGCATGGCTTCTCGCGGAGAGTCGCGCAGCAGCCGAGGCTCAAAAGCCAGGTCGCTCCACGAGCGCCGAGCGGAGCCGAAGGTAGGGACCCGGGGCGGAGGCATTTGCGGGCCTCAGCATTCTTGGCCTCCCTCCTCCCTGAAGCGGACTCTTCGGCCCCGCATCACCACAACTTTCCAGTCGGTACAGTCTTCGTGCTGCTGCCTTTATCAGAAAGCCCATGCTATTAGCCACCACCAGGAACGAATCTTCGCTAAGTTGCGATTCTGGAGCGGAGCGGGCTGTTGAGTGCAAGCCCACGTGAACCTCCAACAGCTCAGCTGAGCCTCTTGTCTTCGCGCAAGGCTCCAGCGGTGAAATTGCACCAACCCTCGAAGCCCTCAAGGCGGGGTGCTGGACGTGATCATCTGATGTACCTGATGGCCAGCATCGGGACTGGATAAGTCTTGGCAGGCATCATACCAAAAGTGGCTTATGGCGGACGGTATTTTGTGCGAAGCCGGCCTTCATGACTTGTTCGAGGCATGCCTTATTCTGATGCTCGGCTAACACAAGCTTGACGGACCACTGAGCAGATTCCACAGGTTTTATAGGGCAGTATAGTCTTCTCCAAACAGTCCTTGCCAGCAGGAACCCGTCTCATCGACCGCGCCCACAAGACTTGGCGTCGCACTCGAGCCTGTCCCAGCACAAAATCCAGGATCTGCAGTTCTGGGCGCTTAGCTCAGCCTTGCAGCCGCGGCCTAAGCAGCAGCATCAACAGACTGGGTTTGCCAAAGTATGGCGGCACCCTAGCAGCATGTAGCAGCTGGTTGAACTCCGCTGCCAGCCCTGAAGCCAACATCAGGTCCGAACGTTTGGGCGGTGACAGTGCCTGGGCCGCGCAAACATCTGCAGCTTTGGCGCTTGACCCGGGAACGGTCGTGCCACCAATGCGCTATTTCTCAAGTCGCTTGGCGCTGCAGAGCCTGGACTGCGGTCCTAAAGTCTAGGCTAAAACCCATCCAGGAGCACACTCAATTGCACAAGCCATGCTTGAAGTCGGGTGAGGCCTTGGAATGCGAACGGAACACCTCTACTACTGGTGGAGTCTCGCTGGTGGAGACCCCTTTTCACTGGTGGCAGCGTAGCTTTGCCCAAAATGGTTGAAATCACGGGTTCGTTTCGAGGTTCCGTTGCCATGTTGCAGAAGTCGACGGCAAAATGTGTTAAGGAAGCTTCTGCTGCGACCAGCGCCTGCGATCTTGCGGCTGCCGCTTGTGGTCCATGACCGGGTTGTAGGAACGCAAGCATCCTGGTTTCAGACAGTGTGGTCGGCGACAGTTCAGGTCCGCGACGATGAATGCATGGGGGCTGTCTACGACTTCCTTTCCGCAGCCGGTGTGCCGCAGCAAGCAGTGTCAGGCCGAGGCTTGTCACCAGCCGAAGATTCGGGCAGTTGTTGCAGAGAGTGTTGTTCAGGCACTTGTTGCACACGTTTTGAGAAAACGTCGTTTTCTGCATAGACACATCAAAGTTGAAAACTAGAGTTGCCTATTGAGAACTAGAGATCAGGTTGTAGTTAGACAAACAATACTTAGGTTCTAATGTTAGGGGGTGAATCACTAAGCATCTTTTAGAGGGTTTCTTTTTCGGATTTCGGCTGAGGCTATACAGGGCATGTTACAAAACGGAGCCCAGCATGGCCCAGCCTTCGTGTATGCTTCAGGGCCGATCGCTACTACGACTATGTTTGTTACCACCCCTGCCACCAATTTTTGTTGCTACTGCTGCTACTGCTGCTACCGCTGCTACTGCTACTGCTGCTGCTGCTGCTGCTGCTACTACTACTACTACTACTACTACTACCAGTCCTGCTGCTACTGCTGCTGCTGCTGCTGCTGCTACTACTACTACTACTACTACTACTACCACACCACCGCCACGACGACGACGACTACTACTACTACGACGACTACCACGACGACGACGGCGACCACGACGGCGACCACGACGACG